TTCCGAGAGGGCGACGGTCTTCCAGACAAGAGGGTAGTGTTTCTTCACGAAAGATGTGCTAGACAGGTGGAGATAAGTAAGGTTGACAAAGACATAATTATCATGGTTATTTAGTAATGCCCGATCGTCCTGTACTGTCGAAACTCAGCAGATGAACGAGACATGGCATGGCATGGCTGAGTCACATTCATTACGCAAGCAGGACATTGTGAGAGTGGAGTTGATTCGACAGCTACAGAGCGACTAACCTAGTCTAACTCGTCTGCGGCACAGAGCAGAGCAGTGGAGATTGGATCATCTGGAGCGACTGCTGCCGCCTTCCCGTTCCAATCCTTCTATGTAGACCTTTTATCTTGACGTGAACATCCGGAACATTGGCCGACCACTCGATTGGTGGCTGCTGAAACTGGATCAAACCCAACGTGACTGTACGTACTCCAATCCGATGCCTGTGCGGTGCCTCCGTAGCGGGGCCGATGGCAATCATGCCGTCATCTTCTACAAAGACAAGCAACAGCCAAGGGTAGATGCGGAAACAGCAGGCGTAAAGGTTTCTCGGTTTCTGAGAACGAAAAAGAATTAGCTGGGCTGAACAGGGTGGGAAAGAGCAGGAGAAGGAAAAGAAAAAGGAGAAAGACAAGGAGAAGAAGGGAAGCGATCGAGACGTACATTTGCGCAGCAAGTCGAGCACAATCTGCGGGGTCCTGCCGAACCAGACGACAGCAAAGACGATGCCGAAGGGGATCCCGGCAAGGAGGACGTCGAGGATGTCGCCGCCGACGGAGCGCGTGCCGGCGGGGGCCATGATGCGGTCCAGGATGGCCAGGCGCGACTCGAGGCTGATCTGGTCGAGGAGCACGTTGTTCATCTGGATGGTGCGCGTGCCGCTGCCGCTGCCGTTGCCCTCCTGGAACACCACTGTGCCGAGACCGTTCGCCACGGGGCCGCTCTACGGCTCCGGGGGCTGCTGGACACCGCCCATGATGACTGTGACGAGGCAAGGTCAGCAATGGAACATGGATGGGGAGAAGGGGAGACGATGGACATCAGGACATGAGGACATCAGGGCAGGTTAGATGCGGACGTCAAAGCCGGATGGGGGCAAGGAGGCAAGGAGGGAAAGAAGGAAAGAAGAAAACTCACTAGATCCCAGACCGCGAGAGACCATGCCAGTAACGCGGCTGTAGAGCGAAGCAGGCTGCTTGCGAGCAACGGAAGCCTGGTCTTCTTGCATAGCGAGGGTGACTGTCTCAACAACGTGGGTGCAAGAAGTGTCGGGATGCTCGTGATGGTTGTGATGGTGATCGTGGTTGTGGTGGTTGCGGCCGCAACGGCCGTCTTGATTGTTTCCAGCGGTAGAGTCAGAAGAGTGAGCAAGGCTGTGGCTGTGGCCGTGCTCGGAGACGCTGCTGGTCAACGAGGCGGAAACGGAAACGGAATCCATCTCTCTGTCGGTGCTAACAAAACTTCAGGCAGGCAGGCAGGCAGGCAGGCAGCTCCGGGGCTTTGGGCTGATCGCCGCGGCGATGGATGGAAATAAAACCTTGTTTTCTGCCTAACCTAATCGTGGATAGTAGATGGCGATGTCGGATGTGCGGATTTGTCGCGATGGATGTCGCGTTGTGCGAAGGCGATGGGCGGACGGCTTTGATTCTTTGATGTTTGTGTGGTGAATCTGGAAGCTTTTCATTGTTGGGAGGTCTGCTGGCGAGGCGACAAGCGCAAGAGGAAGGCTACCGTGATCGCGCCTGGAACAACCTTTGTCCGTCCATGCTTTTTCTGGTGGTCTTCCTGCAGCGTCCCCCTTTTCTGCCCCCTTTTCTCCCCCCTTTTCTGTCCTCCTTTTCTACCCCTAGCCCCTGACCTCTTTACCCCTGGCTTCTTTGCAGCTGGCCTTTCTGCACTCTCGATCTCCATTTCCCATCCAGTATCTGGTCTAGCCTAATTACCTACCACACATATACCATTGAGACGTCTGTGTTGTGACTACCATACCTAGTAGGTACCTACTGTATCTATCTGGTGTGCATTCACAAGTCTCTCTGCGAAGACGGTGCCGTGCCGCTGCTTGCTGGAGCCGTCCGCCCACCCCGCGCTGCGTTAGGATATTCCTGGATTGCTTATATACCTATGATAATATCTTTTATAAACTCCTTAAGTGATTTCAAGTCTTGGATATCTATGTCTAGATGTTTTATCTTATAGCTAGTGGTAAAGATCAGAGATAGTCGAGATATTATCTATTAAGGTTAGCTTACCTAGTCTATAGATTGAGGACTCAATCAAGGGGGCATTAGCCTTATATATCTAGCCTTTTATATACTATCTTGGTATTGATCCTCTAGATTATATTTTCTAAGCTCTTATTTTTCACTAGGTAGAAGTACTTTTTAATACTCTTTTTAACCTCTATTCTCTAGTATGATGACTAGAATAAGTTTAGAGGAAACGCTAATATAAGAAAAGTCAAATAAAAGTAGATAGAGACTAAGAATATTTATATAATAAAGATAGAGAAGATTATATATATAAAGAGAAAGGTAAGATAATAGTATATAGTAGTGATTCTCTTTATATAGAATAGACTTATAGTCAGACTGACAATAGCCTATAAGTAGAGGTAAAGAGTCATTATAATACGGAGACCCAAAATCGTATTCTGGTTTCGGGCATCTTGATCCCTGCGAAATATGCTGGCTATGTCCGTATACCTGAGCCACGGCTGAGCAGACCTGAGCTTGGGGCGAGCGCTCCCTAAGCAAAGCAGCGATAGTGCCTAACTAGTTTGGGATATTTGAGCTATTCAAATTCGTCGCAGACTTCCCGGCAGAGTTCAATCAGCAGTTAACGCATCTCCAAGCCGCACTCACATGCCTCTACTTTGCCAATTCACCGCATTATCATGAGATCGGTGGGAGCAAGACCGACATGATTCAACAAGGCAATGTCACTTTGACCAAAAGCTTTCACTCCTACGTCATGGTCTATTGGATCAGGCATTGCCGACAAGCCAAGAAGACAGAAGAAATCGAGCGTTTGATGGATGAGTTCGCTGGAAAGTCGAAGCTACGGCGGACTCGGACATTTTCTGAACGAGGCGACTTCACCAGCCTTGAAAACCTTGAAGACGCTCAAGATGCATTATTGAGGAGCAATGATTCTGCATCAAAGACAGTCCGGACACAATCAGGTGAAAATATGGAAATAACAGCAGCTGCAAAGCTAGGCGAAATCCCCCAAAACAAGTCTGCTGAAGTCTTCCACGATTTTCTTGAAGAGATGATAATATCCCCAGAGGCTGCCAGTGATTTCCTCGGCCAATATATCGCTCGCGGTGCGGATCTTGATGTACAAGACCAGTGTGGAAACACACTCCTTCATGAAGCCGTCCGTTTTAGGCAGATAGACATGGTTGAAGCCTTGTCAAGTGCGGGAGCTAAACTCGACATTCAGAACACCCAAGGAAACACGCCAGTACATCTAGCAGCCATGTACTCATCTCTGAAAATTCTTCAACATTTACTGTTAGCCGGAGCAGATAAGAACACTAGGAATATGAGGGGCCAGACGCCACTGCATCTTGCCGTGATATTTTCATTTCAAGATCTTGTCGAGTTTCTTCTTTCGGCGAACGCGGACGTACTCGCGAAGGATCACCAAGGCAACACCAGCTTACACTATGCGGCTGCTAGGAACGATTGCTATATCTTGGAACTGCTATTACTGATGGGCTATAACCCTGATGGACGAAATGTGGATGGAGAATCAGCGCTTTCATTGGCAATAAAATCAGATGGTGTCACTACCTCGAAGCAGCTTTTGGACCGAGATGCTATTCTCACAGAAGAGGACAAAGTAGTAGCAATGTCGTCAAAATCCCATGATCTCATCCAGTTGATATGTCAGTATGACCACACCAGGGATTCTGTTTTGAGTCAAACGCAAGGATTAGATAACAACGAAAATGTCTTCTACAGAGTACAGGTCAGCGGCAAGAATGGCTACGCTGCGAGCTGCGAGCGGTGCAACATCACCCGGTGGCTCATAAATTTGCGGAGGACAACGAATTTCAAACATTACTCATCCGTAGAACAGCTGTATCAGTCGGCTAATGATGGCAGGTCATTACGACAAAATTACAGAGTAAGCTTGCTTAAAGCTCACCCAGGCATGCTGCTTTTAGAAATCTAGAAGAGTCACTTTGGGTAAGTAAAGCCCCAAATAGTACCACAGTAAATAACCCAGATGATCCAGATGATTCAAGATAAACTACTAATACTATAGATAATATATAAATTATTCGCTAATTTTTACAGCAATGTGAAAAGATCCAGTAAATGTTGCTTTTGATGACGTAGATGTCAACATTCGCATTCGGCTGCCACTTCAAACATATGTACCTAGGTAGACGGCGAGGCTACGTATTGATGCAAGCATTGACTGCTCTATGTGACAATCATGCCACATCCATAGACGTGCTATTTTTTCAGCTTGCTCAAAATAGCGAGGAGCAGGGTTTGAAGTCTGATATGTAGTCTGTGAGCCTTGTGACTCTAGACTGGACCGCGATGGCATCATAACGTCTTCTAAACAGGGTACTGGAATGTCATACCACTGGAATCGTATAATTGATTATGTCTTGCCTACTGGTCTGTTTGGGCCTCACTTGACAGTGTGTGGCGCCTCAATCCACACTGTGTGTATCGTTGGTCAGCAGACCGTATACAATCAAGGGGTGTAGGGGTGTGACACAAACTCCGAGGGGAAGCGTAAATGCTTGGATTGCTGGCAGCTTTTCGGGTGCCGAGATAAGGCGTATATGAGGCTCGACCTACATTCTGAGACCCAGAAAACTGTCTCCGCAATTCTGCCTTGCACGTCCATCCCATCTCTCCCTGGCGATTATACGCTGCTCGACGTCCTATTAGGGAATAGTCCTTGAAGCATCGTGGTCATTATGGTTTGGCAAGGTGAGCCTACCGCCTACCAATCATGCAAACATGTTCTCTCGCGATTCCAGGCTAAGTGGTCTTCCGGATAGCGTATATGGAGTCAAGGTGAGTACAAATCCCTTCCGATTGGCACCTACGAACACAAGCATTGACTCTGGAAAAGATATACTGACCGTCATGTCCCGACACAATTTAGTCTACTCGGAACCGGTTCAGTTGACCAAATCATCATTTTCGAAAGAAACAGCAACAAGGTGCTTGCCTCATCTATGGGCTTCCTAGTAAAAACCCTCCAACTCATAGGAATTTTCGCACACTAGCTGGTAATAACGATTTCCAGGTCTCAGATCAAGAACAGAAGCAAATCACTTCGATCCTTGATTGTGGCGGCTCGGGAGAGGCTCTACAGCTAGCACAGAAGCAGAGCTTCCAGGTTGCGGGGCAGGGCTTCTTTGCTGTGAAAGCCGACTCACGGAGTTTATACGGGATCAAGGTGTGTATTGTACCATTGCTTCGATTCAGGGTGTGAATATTCAGTAGTTAACAACTCCTCAGAACGAAGAGGGCGTGTGCATCGTGAGGACGAGGACTGCCTTGTTGGTTGCTCATTTCGGACCTCCGAGCTACCTCGAGGAAGCTGCTCGATGCATTGAACAGCTTTGCGATAACTTGATTGAGAAGGAATTATGACGAACGACACTGATACATTTGGCACTGTCTGGGCGAAGCGTTCATTCGCTCGTAGTATCGATCAGGTATTATGCTGGGTGGATTGTCTTGAGGCCTGGAGAGCCTCAGCAATTGAATTATTTGATCATGGCTCAAAAAGATAACTTTGTCTCCTCCAATTACATCACTATCTTCACCTCTTGAGTCAACCCATCCGCTAGGTGGGCCATTAAGTTGCATTATTGTGCCAATGTTTTTTTTATCAGGCCTCACAAGGAAAACGCGGCTTAGCTGTTGCAATTACTAGCAATATTAATTTTGTATTCAGGGACATCCAGACCAGTGACAAGTCTTGGTGTGCTTGATGATAAGATAGACTGGTAGTAAACCTTTGTCAAGCAGAATCAAAGTTTGAACCTTCCACACAAAACCACATCTTCGCCAAATGGGAACCATTTGCTGCCAGTCAATCGAGCCGCGGGAACTGTTTTCCCGGCGTCATCATGACGCCTAGCAGGAGAGACGACGACACCACCTACGCCGAGCCAGGTCGGAGCTATGGTGACGATGACAGTCGATTTCGGGCAGATATTGAGGTTCGAGGAGTGAATTGATAACCCGCCCACCACCCTCGACCATGATGCTGTTGAGACCATTTTTCTTCAGCGTGAGCACCAGCCCATGCCAGTCGAGGCGGTGCTCTCCAATGTCTGACGTGGTGATGGTCATGGCGATGTACTTCCCACCATAGGACCAATTCTCAAGCTTCCACCCTGGTCGCAGAACACAACCTATCCAAGTGGAGCCTTCTCTCCTTGGTACAGCCTTGCAAGCCTAACTTCGGCCGCTGTCACATTAGACTGGAGAGATACATTAGTTGGCCTAGGATCATTCGCCCGGTTCTTTGACGCTCCTTCGCCTTATGTGGCCGGTCTTTGGGTCGACGACCTTCACAATGGGTTATTGTGGTATGTTGATAATGCCGTGGAGCAAAAACAATCAGAGAAATACATTGCACCAAGCTGGAGCTGGGCCTCCACCAAAGGCTGGGTAAGATACAATTTTATCGTTGGCTCTCGGCACGAGAAAGTAGCTGATGGCATGGGCCTCGCTGTGCTGGATGTGGTGTCCCATAATTTAGACGCATATCCCTATGAACGAGCTTCATTGGCATACCTTGATCTGGAGGCCATGACTCTAGATGTACGCTTTGGATCTGATTCCGGCAAATATGTTTGCTTCTTTGATAGCCTGAAGTGGGAACGACAATGGAAGGCTGGCTCAACCTTCGTCTTCGTCTTCATTTGCCCGTGGACCCACGTCTCGAGCAACAATCTGAATCAGGCTCACAGTATCGGCCTTATACTTCGAAAAAGCAGGGACGTTGATGTAGAGACATGGGGACAGGTCGACACGCCCAAGGCCTATCAGCAACCTTTCGTGCGGACTGGACTCTTCTTAGCGGGGGACTATGATCCGAAATTGACTGCTTGGACGAGAAGAAAGTTAAGAATCATCTAGCACTAGTACGAGTCAAAATCTAAGAATATACGCCTAAAATAACACCCAAGGCGACCTCCCGATTAGAGTTGCCACAAACATCGTAAATGTTAGAAAGGGAGATATAAGTAGTCCCAAAGCTCAGGTCTAGAAATGTGATCAAGGGGCTATTCTAGTGTAACTCAGTGAAAGACTGAGCAAGTCTTATGAGGACTGACAAGAATTTAGCTGAAGTTGGGCCGGTCAGCGAACGGCTCTAGAAGCGGCCATCAATGCTGGAAAGATGGCCAGACATAGATAGAAAGACCTAGTCAGACACGCTGTCTGAAATGAAGGCCTGCAAGTCTTGATTTTGTCCTAATTGAGAGCGACGTTCTCGCAGACGACACGGAGGTGATCCATGGATATGTAGTGAACAATTAATCAAGACGAATAAAGTGCCTTTAGGAAACCTCGACCGCGGTGGGCTCCAATATAAAATTTGTCTCATCCAACAAGATCGACACATTCTCCCCTAAGAAGCCCCAAAGAGTGGCCACTATGCCAGACAATTCAATGTAGGGCATTCCCAAAGAGAGTTCAATCCACACCCGCCAACTTCTAAAACTCTAACATAATGAAATCAACAACAAGGACTATCCTCATACTCGATTTTAGTTGGATCGACAAGTCAGTTTCTTTCGATGTTAAGATGCAAGATCTGAGAACAGCTCTACCTGGTAGAGAGGCGTCAGTTAAATTCCGATGATTCCATATAAGCAAGAATGACGCAAATCTAATCGCTGTAAGGACACATTGAGTGCCATTGCCATGATATGTTTACTACACTAATCTGCCCAACTAAAGTTCAATTGTCATCCCGGATTAAGAGCCAGATCAAGGCCATTCTTGACGAAAACCGGCACTGAAGCGATGACATCGTAGGCCAGATTAAAACATCCTAGAAGTGTAACAGTGACTAGCAGCCTCACTAACTAGTCGCATACTACCTCCTCATTGCCATTTTCTTGAGCCTTCGTGCGAAACCCATCACTTTAACTCGCGGTCTGTTGGCGATGACGCGGATCCAACAACACAAGACCGTCAAATGTTAAAAGCTGCACTCTCAACTTTTGTAAGCTTGCAAACAGCGGTTTACTTGGACGTTCCACATTGGCCTACCATTAATGAAAACTTCTCTTCAGATTCCTTACATGAGCTGGGAAACACATGCACATGTCCGAAGTTTGAATTCTGACAAAACAAAGGCATCACTCCACCGCCGCAGAACATCAGATAAATTCACTAATCTGATTTGCAAGATACAAGCTTCAGATATCAAGGACAAACAGTTTCCAAGTAGACTGGAAACAATGGTTCAACGTGGTGTAAACACGTCGACATATCATCAAGCCACGACGTAAAATGACACAGAAAGGTAAGAGCATTGATACCGCCTTGAACTTCTTCCTTTTAAGAGGTTTGCTAGGAAGTGATTAGACATGACTAAGTAGCAATTATCAATAAATGTGAGTGCACAAAATGAAGTGAATATGTCGAGCTTGAGAAAATGTTTGGACTCAAATACAAATCGACAGACTTCTAGAATGCTTGCGAATTTTGCGTGATCGAGAATATTGTGTAGATCCATAAGTTTATGGGGTCGGGCCTGTCTGTTGGTGGGAACTCTTTGATGACACCATAGTATTCGGGATGGCAACATTTGGACAACTTGTATTGTCATAATCCGACCGAGCTCGAATACAAAATATGATTTGTTAAAAGCTAGCGACTTCCGAACATCAATCCTTCTAATAATCAAGCACCAATCACGCTGAATAGCAATTGAAAGGCAGCATAATTTTCGGGGTAATACTCCTTAGTAGATATTGCTTCGTCTCCAATCACTTAATCAATCAAAACTCTAAAGCCTTCAGCTGGGCTTAAAAGAGGTCTACTTGGCTTTGGATATACGCATTTATCTCAAACAATAAAAATCATGACGGATAATTTCGACGCTACAGTGACGGTCCGCCCGGGTCACGATCTCGGCAATGGAAAGAAGCATATACTTCTCAATGCCTTTGACATGTCGACCGTCGGACACTTGTCACCTGGCCAATGGAAGGTAGGTCGAGATGAGGTCTAGCTCTTTGTATATCAACTGACAAAGCATCAGAACCCCGTTGATAAATCTGCTACGAAAAGAAACCTTGAATACTGGATTGAACTAGCCAAGCTTCTGGAGAGGGGAGGCATCAACGCCTTGTTTCTCGCTGACACGTATGGCGGCTATGATACGTATGAGGGGAGCTTAGATAACTGCATTCGGAGAGCCGCTCAATGGCCGATGACTGACCCGACCATTGTAAACTCCCTATGATAACTTGCCATTGTCATACTCGTCTTGTTCTGACCATTCTCTAGCCGATCAGTGCAATGGCTGCGGTTACGAAGAACCTCGCCTTTGGCATAACAGCATCCACCTCGTTTGAGCCACCGTTCCTGCTTGCCAAACGGTTTTCAACTCTGGATCACTTCACTCGAGGCCGCATTGGTTGGAACATCGTCACTTCATGGAAGAAAGCGGCTTTCAAAGCTATAGGCTTGGACAACCCTATCGACCATGACGAACGATATCTACAGGCCGATGAGTATCTTCGAGTCCTGTATAAGTAAGCTTGAGATCATAGGAGCCAGGAGATGGTCATATTGCTAATGTAATTCATAGACTGTGGGAGGGCTCATGGGCTGATGACGCTATTTCACCTGATCCCGAGAATGACAGTTATGCAGACCCGGACAAAATCCGTACCATTGATCACAAAGGCAAATATTTCAACCTGAGCAGCCGCCATATTGTAGATCCTTCTCCTCAGAGAACGCCGTTTCTATTTCAGGCCGGGACTTCCCCTGCTGGATCAACCTTTGCGGCGACACATGCGGAAGCCATTTTTGTTTCGGGGCATTCCCCAACAGTGTTGAGGCCCAAAGTTGATAATATCAGGGCTCTGGCAGCCAAGCAAGGTCGTGATCCTCGATCAATCAAGTTCTTCGCGACCTTCACGCCCATCATCGGCAAGACCGACGAGGAGGCTCGTCAGAAGCACGAGGAGCTGAAGAAGTACGCCTCAACAGTTGGCGGATTGGTATTGTTCAGCGGCTGGACGGGTATTGATATCTCAAAGATCCCGATCGACCAAGAAATCACTGCAGCGGACTCACTGGAAGCAAATAAGGTGAGGAGCATCCTTGACGCATTCACGACCACTAGCAAGGAGATTCCCAAGTGGACACCACGTGTAATTGCGGAGCGGGCATCCATTGGAGGTCTGGGACCAGTCTCTGTCGGGAGTCCACAGACCGTAGCAGACGAGATGGAGGAATGGATCCGCGAGGCAGACATTGATGGGTTCAACCTTGGATACGTGACAACCCCGGGCACCTTTGAGGAAGTCGTGGACCTCCTGATTCCTGAATTACGGAAGCGCGGTCTGTGCCCTGAGCTATCAGAGGAGCCCCTCACTGCCCGGGAGAAAGTCTACGGAAAGGGGCAAAGAGGCCTTCGAGATGACCATACGGGCAGCAAGTACAAATACGCCGTATACCAAGAGGATGCTCCCTATGTCGATGGTGAGGTCGATGGGCAGGAGAAGCCCATCAAACCATCAGAATGATTCTGTTACGAGCTGTAGTAGTACAATAAGATTCATTTTCTCGTCAATTGCGACAGCCACATCTCCTGAATCAGTCTCCTTCCATGGACGTCGAGATTCCATCTGTGCTGATGAATGAATGCTGTCGCCTGTCATTCATCGAGAACTTCTTTGGCCAATGGTATGACTAGGAGGACGCGCATGCACTCAGGACGTCACATACCAACAAGCTCTAAGGGCGAATAGGGATAGATTGAGACCCGAGAGATAAGCTTGAGAGAATACTGAAGAGTGCGAGGACGCTTATGGATCCGGCGCTGACGCAGACGGCATTCCGAGCCAGGGGTTATGGATTTGTGGAGTAGAGTGAGCTCTTGTATGGAGCTCGAGTGTCAGATGTTAGCCCTTGCAGATGGTTGATCCCGTTCACTTTCCTTGAATGGAATGAATAAGTTCCTGATGTCTCCCCGTCAGTAAATGAAAGTCTTTGGGCGTCTTGCCAGTGTCCGGTGGTTAGACTAAAGCCGTTACATGCAACCGGCGAAGTCTAAATCATCATATGCGTTTGCACTACCAGGAACTTGGGATGAGTTCAGTGGGCACAGTGGCTGCGGATTAGTGGGGTTCCGGTGGGAGGCAAGCAATTTGACTTTGCCGGCTTATACGAGACACACATTCCCTTCACTGCCAAGGACATCTCAGCCTTTGTTGGCAATTGTAATCGTCCCTGGAATCTCGCAAGAGGCCCAGCTCAGCTGAGATCAAAGTCAATTCTGCATCTTGTCGCCAGCGAAGTCTCTCGGATGTCTTTCATAGCAACTTCACTAGCGATGCTATCACTCGGGGAGATGTGGGGAGGTGGCGCGTCCTCTGTGCATCACTGAACGCGAATGTCTTCGAAATGTGGACCACGTTCACCTGCAGATGAAATGCACCTGGGGGTCATTCTCAACTGACAAGTCAGGGCTCTTCAGTATAACCTCGCCAATGAAGCTTTGGGCTTATGTGCTGAGACTTGTTCAGTTAGGATCTCACGTGGGATGACCTGTCTCAACCCCTTTTTAAATAGAAGTCATACCATGTCAAACCTAGGCGGGCATGTCTATCATGGCAAATCACCAGCAATTTGTATCTATCTAGTATGTCTAATTGCACGTGTAGCAACCAAGTGGCAGATCTTCCCAATCATGGATATGGAGTGGGTTGGCTTAAACTCTGAAAGTTAAGCACGGCTACCCTGACCTGAATCTGTCCCCTTACTCTTTCTTCTACCGGGCTGCCATGGATCCCTTCATGGTATTTATAATTCTTTATCTCCACCTGCTTTTTAGTTCCCATCCTGTTTCAACACTGGGCAATCAGGAGCCATGACAGCTTCACTCTTCAGCAACCCCAAGCGGGTGATGCAGATGCTATGGGCAGCAGCAGCTCTCATGCTCACCGCGGCAGTTATCCATTCGTTAAGCGATGGCCAGCCCAATGAATGGGTCTTCAACAAGCTCCCAGCATTGGGCGGAAGGCCAGGTAGCGAGCAGAGTCCTCCTGTTAATAAAGTGGAAGCCAGCCCCGTCCGGATTGGCAGTACTACTGCTTCCGATACGAGCGATTTGCGGTTGTCAATGGAGAGACACATGCGCCTCGCAGAAGCCAGCTGGGCGAAGACAGTGAAGCAGCGCCATGAGATGATCAAGGCCGACTATGGCGATATCAAGGAGATGCCACTGTAAGGAGAGACCTCCTAATCCCTGAACGCTGCCGAGGCTTTCATTCTTACATTATTTTAGATTCCCTGCCGTCGACGGAGGTGAATACCACAAGCACCCGTACACAATTTGGGACTTCACGCCGGCATCATACGGCTGTCCGCATGAGATGGAGCGCGTCGGCCGCATGGGCGATGGTGGCAAGTGGGTGTGCGGCATGAGTCGGTACGAGGAGGTGGCGCGCAAGCAGCCGTGCGTGATATACTCGTTTGGCGTGCGAGACGAGTCGTCGTTCGAAAATGAGATGCTCTCAAGAACACAGTGCGATGTCTTTGCGTACGATTTCTCGGTGGTCGACTTTGGCGAACAGCTAGAGCCCGAGAACAGGCACCGGGCACACTTCATGCAAGCTGGGATTGGTAAAACGGACACCGCGGCAGATCCGCCCTTCTACAGCATTGTTGATCTTATGAAGATGAACGGACATCAGTACATGTGAGTGCTGCTTTGGCATTCATATGGCAACTCACCGGAGCTGACAAGCTTGCACAGCGACATCTTGAAGATGGATATTGAGTTCGCCGAGTTCGAGTCCATGGAAGGTCTTGATGAAGCGTTCCCAGCAGCTGAAGGATATGAGCTCCCAATTGGGCAGCTCATGATTGAAATCCACTTCTTCAATGGCATGACCGCGGAAGGCTACCTGGCTTGGTACGATCCAATTTTCAGCTACCTCTGGCATTTACTAACCTGACTCTAATCATCTAGGTGGGAGAAGCTCGAGGCACGAGGTTTGCGACCGACCTGGACAGAGCCCAACTTACTCGCCGTAACAATGAATCTAGCTGGAGACAAAGCACCTCTGCTCGCTGAATATACGCTTATTAATGTAAAGGACAAGCGAAATGTCCTTTATATCGGCCCTTGAGCGCTGTCGGTGGCCAGCAACAAAGGGGATGATAGTCTACATGGAAGGGAATGCCAAAGATTTGGCGCATCACTGTAACAGCACGGATCAGGCGTATGAGAGGGTGGCTACCAGCTGAGGCGTTCGGAAAGGGGTTATAAGTAATTGGGGAGGTCGATAAGGCCCATTCAACAAGTATGTCCTGTCAAAGTCTGAGAATCTGGAGCGCCTGCCGTGTTGCCACATATGATATTACTTGACCGAACGTCTGATGTCTAGTAAACCTTTTTCTAGCGATTATTGATGCTGCAGGTTCTCGCTTGGAAGAATCACTTATTCGACGGACTAACAGCTAGTCATTCTCACCTTGAAGCTGGAACGAGTTACAGGGCTTAATGTCGACAGCGCAGCAAAAAGTTGCATCATCTAGCAACCTTCATTCGAGGTCTCAAATGTCAGAAACCTGCCAAAAGTCATAGCTATCATGCTTACCAGCTTATGTGATCGACAGAGATCACCCGGGCCCGAGAAGTCCTTCATAAGCAAGAAAGGGAGCAGGCCCGAAATCCATGAATGATATGACAAATTAATTCCCGAGGGCCATGGAATATTGTATAGCTGACTTAAGAGATCCAGGCGATGGGCGAGATTCTCCAGTAGAAAGACCCAAGATGCGCAAGCTCATGCAATAGTAACTGTGGAAAGGCGCGGACTCTTAACGCCGACAATGCGTATGGGTGTGTGTGAAGAGCCGCTTGAGAGATGATACGCAGCAAGGCAACGTCAATTGAGTATTATGACCTAATGCAGCAATGTTCTTCGAATTGTGCAACCTCGCATCAGCACTAGAGATTGAGTTTTGAAGAGTGCGTGGGAGTTTATTAATCCCCTGCCGCGGTTGATGCGCAATTTGATAGGTAACCAAGAGTGCACTCTAGGTTACCTCCAACCCCTTGTTATTGCCGAAGCGGTATGCCGCACGGCATCTCTTTCGGCGCCCAGTGCAACCTTCACGGGGTTTGCTTTTGGGCTTCCTTGCCATGCGACCCAACGGCGCCCACACCACCACCTAACCGCTTCCAGGTAGGTCGCTGCTTAGCTACTCTGCCAGATTGACTTGAGCTCTCGCGCCTTTCGGCTTCATGCTTTATAATCTCAGTAGCCCGCTCATTGCATCTTCAACCACTTTTGCTTCAATGACGTTATCGCCGATGGGGCAATGATTCTGTATAAATGATCCAGGGCTGCCTGAGGACATGACGTCTTGATCTTTGAGTTATCTGGTCGTCACATTTTCTACAGACTTGGCGCGGCAAAAGTGAAGCCTTTCAATATGGAACGAGCTACTCAGAACTCTTTCTTCTCCGACTCAGAGAAGCCAGACTACTCCGATCGGGAGTTTGGCCAAGATCCGGACACGGAGAAGGACATTGAGCGCGGACCAGCCCCGCGCTCCCCGGCGAGCTCCCGGGCGGCGTCCGAGACAGCAGATGCCACGCCGGAGCCAGCCACGACCGACGCCACCGCCCCTGCCAAGGCTCCGGGCAGCGGCATTCCGGACGGCGGGTGGGATGCGTGGCTGCAAGTGATCGGATCGTGGGTCATTCTCGTGGATACGTGGGGTTTGATAAATACTTTCGGCGTCTTCCAGACATATTATGAGACCGAGCTGCTCCCGGACACGCCCTCGTCCAGCATCTCCTGGATTGGATCGTTGCAGGGCTCGCTTCTGATGCTCGTCGGCGTCATTTCAGGCCCACTATATGATGCAGGCTACTTCCGGCACCTAGTGGCTGGTGGACTCTTTCTCATTGTCTTAGGGCAGTTCATGACTTCACTATGCAAGACGTACTGGCAGCTCCTCTTGGCCCAAGGCATCTGCATCGGTGTGGGAATGGGACTTAGCTTCCTGCCTTCGGCAGCCATTCTCGCGCAATACTTCCATAAGCGTCGGGCGCTCGTCCTTGGCCTCTCCTCGTCCGGCTCGCCTCTGGCCGGTATTGTCTTTCCTATCATCTTCTCGCGCCTGCAGCCACGCATCGGCTTTGGCTGGGCCACTCGCGTGATTGCCTTCATCCTGCTCGGCATCTCCGTCATACCCGTCGTGTTCATGAAGACACGGATACCAGCAAACAAGGGCAAAAAGCGCTCCTTCATCGACACCAGCGCCCTGCGCGACGTCCCCTACATGCTCTTCGTCGTGGGCTGCTTCTTTGGCTTCCTGGTGCTGTATGTGGCCTTCTTCTACACGCAGCTATTCGACGTCACGCATCACCTCAGCAGCCTCGACTTCGCGCCTTACACGGTCACGATGCTCAACGTGGGCAGCGTCTTCGGGCGCGTCCTGCCCAACTACTTCGCCGACAAGGTCGGCAGCCTCAACGTGCTGATCGTGTGCGCGTCCACCAGCGCCGTGCTGCTGTTCGGCTGGATGGGCATCCACAACCTCGGCGGCTTGATAGTCTTCGCGCTGTTGTACGGCCTCTTCTCCGGCGGTCTGGTCAGCGTCACCCCGTCGGTGGTCATGGGCCTGACGCCGGATCTGAGCAAGATGGGCGCACGGATGGGTGTCACTTTCCTAGCATCCGGCATCTCGATCCTGGTTGGGACGCCGATCGCTGGCGCGATTGTCGGCGATTTCAGTCGGGAGAGATGGCTGGGGGTTATGGGTTACGCTGCTGCTGGTCTTATTCTTGGGGCAAGCTTTTACGTAGCCGCGCGAATTTTGCTGTACAAGAAAAAGGGAGGCTGGCGAGCATAAAGAGAAACGGGTTCATACTCGAAGGATGAGTTCGATGGCACTCGCATGAACAGGAAAATAGCATTGTATCGGCGCATAAGCATATAGAACGGGATCAGCTGGAGGTTTTCTGAAAACGGCAAGAGATTGTGTAAAACATTGAGTATAAGCGTACAAATATGGCCCAGATATCAAATGATAACATCTTACTGATTTTCCAACCGTGAATCATTCCGCCTCTCATGACACGGTGAATAATATCAGATCACCTCCTAGATGCATACCAAACAGCTACACCCCCTACTACAATAGCACCGAGCAGCTCGGCCCAACGCAACAGTCCGCGCTGGATATGCTTCTTGGCAAATTCATCAACCTGAGCGCCCTCGTTCACCTTCGGGAATTCGACGCCCTTCGGAACTTCAACACCAAGCGCCTCGCAAAGGGGTTCCCATCCGTCTCGAACATCGTAGAACACGAGACGGTCAGGAGGAACCGCTGCTTTGAGATATGCGATATGCCTATCCCACACTTTGCGGGTGAACTCCCGTTCCTCGCCAGGCGCCTGATACAGCACTCGCCAGGCGTTAATGATGCCCGAGATATACTTAGGGTACCACCGTAAAGATGGAAGTAGGTAAAGAGCAAAAGGCACTATCCACTGCAGTGACGTGTTCCCGACCGCCTGGAGACTCTTGCCCCAAGCCTCTGGGTCGCGCAGGGTCACGATGACCTTCGCATCCGGATACAGCTCGACCAGTTCCTTGACGAATGTTGGCGCTGGGAAATCCGTGGTTGCCATATATCCGTCGAATCTCTTCCTGAGAGTGTCCTTGATGAATGCCTCGTCCTCGGGTGTACGCTTTGGCCATGCTGGGCGGATATCGTCTTCGGAGATGGGAATGGGATCAGGCTGGGAGTAGCGCTGCCACGCGGCGATCCAGCCCTTTGCCTCCGCCTCGGGCCCGAGGCAGACCTGCGTCCCGCCGTGGTAGACCGGGCCGTCGAGGAGAATCTCCAGGGCAGCGCTGAATGATGCCGTGCCCGTTCGAGGAAGGCCTGCTCCGATAACCCGCAATTTGGCACCAGGTTTTGGTGCCGATGCCTGCTGACCCATTGATGCGAGGGGAGACGTTTTCTGGGGAAATCGAATTGAGCTGCAATGAAATAGAGGTTGAGACTTTCTTCTCGTCAGACATCTAACAATCTGGCCTGACTACGCTGTTCATAGAAAATGAGGATTCTAACTGAAATACGACATTTAGCGGCGGCACAGCCGCATTGGCATAAATTAAATCACCGGGCAGGAGATGCAGACTGAGGTTCCCAGCTCAACAAACTCCGTTTTGAGCATAAGTAACTTTGCGTCCACCACATTTTGGTGCTGGTGCCACTGGACAGTCCTGTTCTGGCAGAGTTGTTGCCCGTCAATTGGACAAGCCACCGGATCTCGTCACTTGACCATATGCCAAACCAAGGCATAGGCGATCCAAAGACGGTGGGCTAATCCTTATAGATCCAATTTTGGACCCACCGTCTTGGAACTCCAGCTCAAAACGAAAGCCGGGTTGTGATCAGAGGTATGAGCCATAGTGGTGCACTTTCCGACGGTGAGAATGCTATGAACGTGTAAACAAAGCTGCTGCATGTCATAGAGCCAAGCTTTTATGATAGAACACAATCTTGGAAGACCACTAGAAGTATGTGACAGAGGCTTAAAGCCCTTCACTTCTTGACTTATCTTCGCAATAGTCCTACAAAAGTATGCATTTGCGTCTTGCTTCACTAAGGGTCATATGTGTGTCGTTGGGACGCTGACACATGTCGGTTCAATGATGAACCTGCATCACTAATCGGACCTCCTACCACATTTCATGTTGAGCCGCTCGCGCGACTGCAGGAGCGACGGATATGTACATGTGCAGCATCGAAGCGAGCCGAGGGGAGTTCAACACTCTTAAGGGTTCAAAGGTCGAGCTTCACACGAGTCCTCGTATCAGCAAACGTAAGGTAGATGGAGATGCCACGGATTTTTCGACGACGAGCGATCTGGGCGCATTGCGATCACGACATTGCTGACTCAGTGCCGTGCGGCGCTAGAGATGTTCGTGAAGAGGGATGGCGTTTAGGTGCAGGCGAAGATTCCAAAGAGCTAAATGTGAGATGATACATCCCCAAGAACCTCAGATTTGCGCCAGTCGTGTTTTCTGGAGGAGCACAGACGTTGCCCTAATTCTCCGCAAGTGTTTCGTTTTGAAATGGTTGTTTCGTCTTCTGCTGCTATTACAATTTACGGCAGCCGGCAATTGACAGACACACGGGAAGGTTGTGTATGTTACAAGCGTATTACCTAGGCATGTTGTGTGTAGACTGGTTATGGGCCTGTCTTTGTCATAGACGACTAATAGAGCGGCGTAGCGGTGGGCAAAATCGCACTCGCATAATCATTACCAGAGCCTTATTCAGCAATCGACATGCGCCCAGGCCACTCGATACGCCATCTTTTTAAGGTAGGCGTAGTGGGGTTTGCAGGCTAGAGAGAGCAGCTATCCCCTGCCACGGTGAGCTTAGCGCAATGCTGTTGGGCGGAGGGGCAGATGGTCCCTAAGTAAGGCAAGTGGGGTTCTTTCCAATTGAGAGGGTTCCCTAGATGATCGATTAGAAAGCAGCATTGGAGAGGTACCACAGTAGCCTCCAAGTTTAACGTTGATGAAATTGGAAGTCGTGCCCAGTACGGCACGAGGCTAAGGTTGTCATTGGAGAGGGTATGGACTTGGAAGTACCTACCTAGGTAGGTATCGCCGATGTAAGGTATGGAGCTGTCATGCCAGGCAGGGCGCCTCTTCATATCACCGAAGCTGACTGGGCGTCGTCCCGGCGAACAATCAGCATTACAGGAGCTTCTTCATTGTGTGATATTGTATTTCATCGTGAGGAAGAGAGGGGTTTGGCTATGCTACCTAGGTATGCAGATATGTAACCAAAACGGTCGACATTATCCATACCTAGGATCAGGGGTACCTATAGGTAGTCAGGTACTTGCAGGTATCTCTAAGTGGATAGGGTCAGCCAGTATCACTATTTGACTTTTCGCTTTGAAAGAAGCGGAGCTCCACGCTGCGTTTGATGATCGAGGGCTTATGGCTGATGTCAGGTAGGTACTTACTCGAGTTACTGTACCGCAAGTCGTAGTTACAAATCTCTATGCTCAAGCTAGTGAGTGGGTGAGGAAGGAAGGCTCGGAGGAAGGTGCAAGTGGAGTCGAACTTAATTGATGAGTCCCTGTCCGTTGACCGCGGGGCAGGCACGCCTTGTACAGTACGGGGGTACAGGAGTACTTGCACTCACCTGTAGGAGCATCGTCTTTGATTAACGATTGATTATTAGATCATGACACAGGCAGAGCTGCTGAGACATCTGCCCATGGAGACCTCCATCTGCATGAGACAATCGAGCCCCGGCACTAGCATGCTGATAGAATACCCACTTCGGCGGCATGTACTGTACCTTTGTGTCTCTCCTTCCTGCCCTTCCTGCCGGCAGGAAGGCAAGTATTCTCGTAGCTCCAGCCCACCTTGATGTATGCTGCTCTTTCCCGGTTGAGCACCAACACTGCGAGCAACAGCAACTGCAACCCACCTCCTACCTGCCGTTTCGTCCCGCCCGCCCCAAGAAGCTAAGGTAGGGTAGGGTACCAGGTAGGATATTGCGTCAAGAGCTCCGGTTTATATAACAGCCCCGGCATCTCCTCTCCCCTCGATCGTACCTTCTCCCACTTCACTCCATCTTCAAGAAGCTACAGAAGCCTGTTAGCAGTAGCTCCCTAGTTCCTGCCGTGCCCCCATTCTCACTCCACTCTCGATTCGACTCTTCGATAACAACCTTATTCAACCGTCTCACCATGGCTCCCAAGATCGCCATCGTCTACGTAAGTACTCCTTGAGCCAATTCCCTCGATGCAAGCGTCCGCTCCGAGCTACCAATTTGGTATTGTGGCTTGCCTGCCGTACAACAAGCAGCTCGGGGTATACAGTATTGAATGGTCCAACTTTCACCCGACACCTGAGATACATCAAACTTATAGGAGATATGAGACACTAACCTCTGTTCAATAGTACTCCATGTACGGCCATGTCCGCACATTGGCCGAGGCTGAGAAGAAGGGCATTGAGAAGGCTGGTGGTACTGCCGACCTCTTCCAGGTCGCCGAGACTCTCCCCCAGGAGGTCCTCGACAAGATGTACGCGCCACCCAAGCCCACCGACGTCCCTACCATCAGCGACCCGACCGACCTCGAGGGTTATGATGGCTTCCTGATCGGCATTCCGACCAGGTACGGCAACTTCCCCGGCCAGTGGAAGGTGAGAAACCCGCCCCTTTCGTCACACCTGAAATATAGCTAACATTGTTGCTTCAACAAGGCTTTCTGGGACCGCTCTGGCAAGCAGTGGTCCACTGGTGGCTTCTGGGGCAAGTACGTCGGCGTCTTCATCTCCACTGCCGGTCTGGGTGGTGGCCAGGAGTCGACTGCTCTGGCTTCCATCTCCACATTCGCCCACCACGGTCTCATCTACGTGCCTCTCGGCTACGCAAAGACCTTCGCCCAGCTGACTGACCTCAGCGAGGTCCACGGTGGCAGCCCCTGGGGCGCCGGCACCTTCGCCGGCACTGACGGTAGCCGCCAGCCCACCGCCAAGGAGCTGGAGATTGCCACCATCCAGGGCGAGAACTTCTACAACACTGTTGCCAAGGCCACCGGCGCATGACTCCATGGCAGCGGGGGCAAGAAGGAGACGGAGGAGGTGAAGCCGGCACCAAAGAGTGCTGAGCCTGCAACAGCAAAGAAGTCTGCGACGCCGGTCGCTCAGGAGAACGGCAAGGCGAAGGAAGACAAGGAAGGCCCATGTGGTCTACCGAGCAAATGTACTATTCTTTAAAGAAAGTCAGCATAAAACATAGAACCACGAATTTATGAGCATCTTAAGAAAAAGAGCTATTTCCATGATGTGTTAGGGCTCAGGAGCCTATACGTGTGTGAACATAATCATTGCAGCCCCGATTGGATTTCTTGGGCGTATAGTATTTGCCAAGTACTGCAAATAGGAGCGAAGAAAGAGGAGTCGGCTACCAATATGGTCTTGGATATCAACCCGGCGGCCTTGTGACGTTCACATTAGCACAGCTGACATTCAGCCTCAAAAGCTGGGGGCCAAGTCTGCCTTATGATATTATAGGTAGGTGAGCGGTACTTATGCGGGTTGGTGCTCAATAGCGTAGCCGATAGGCCTCCTCTAAGATCCTAGAACGAGATCCGACAAGCCTAGCACATGCGAACACTTCATAAACAGATAGAGCTTTGAAGGGAGCGAGGGTTGCTAGTGATTCCGAGGCGGTGACTCCTCGGTGTCCGAAGCGGGTCTATGGCTTCGCCATGGACCACGCAGCTCATTCGTGGATGGGATGGATAGACAGATACAAAACTAGTCTGATCATATACGGAGATAGTTCTAGAGAAATCATTGTGAATTTTGTATAGATATCAAGTGATATATCTTGTTTACTCCTTTCGCCTTAGATTCCCCGGAGTTTAGAGGCTCCCTTTGTTGTAGCATATTACCATCTCGGACTTGAGACAGATTCTGCTCTTATATATATACACCAAAATAACGCTTGCTTGCTTGCAACCAATGCAGAAAGAGCCGCTGAGGTATCTAGGGTGTGAATAAAATGCAATGAATGTCGGCAGATACTAAGCCAAACTTACCGCCCCTCCATTCGTTCGTTCGTTTGTCCATCATTATCTCGTTCCAGTGGAGAAGACGGTAAGCAAAGACGGTGACACAACGCCCTGCTATGCTTCTTTGATACATATATCGCTCCTTATTGTACGTAATATCGCCCGATGGGCAAGAGTTCGGTGCCTGCCCTACTGGCATCACCTCTCGTCTTCTCTGGGCACCGCGCTCGACGGCTCGATAACAATCTGTGGGAGTCTGCTTAAGCGCAGGCTCGGTAGCTGGGGAGTGCCCCCAACGCCTCTCGATGACCGCTGCGTGGTCCGGTCATCCTCAGTGGCAGTCTCGGCGGCTAGGTCCGCCATGTGTGCAGAAAGCCTGTTGTTTCTCGCCTCTGTAGGTCCGGGATAGTCCGGAGGCGGTTCGTTATAGGGGGTGTTGGCCCCCGATCGTGAGTGCACTGGCGTGATACCGTCGAGTGAAACATCGTCGTATCCCGGTGGAGAATGCGGCGGCATATCTACATCGCCCAGGTCGGCCTCCGCCGCATCGATCAGTTCCGGACTCGACCCGGCTTGCATGGAGCCGCGTCGAGCTTCCGCTCCTGTCGAGCTCGCTCGTGACCGTGTAGTCCCAAGCGCTGGCGACCCAGGCTCATTACTCCTGAACGTGTCGATGCTCAGGACAGAGCTCGCGCTGGGAGCCCTACGGTGCTGCAGAGTGTCCTGCGTACTGAGCGCTATGCTGGCTGCGTCGCTCAGCAGTCCAACCCGCTCGCTCTCTGTGCTATTAGCCCTGATGCGCGTGCCGTCATGCCTCGCGATGCCGAGGTCCGCGTAGCTAACGCTGCTCACGGCCCGCTGTCGGGTCTGTTTGATCTGCTCGTGGTTCGCGCGCAGCTCATCGACCTCCTCCTGGCCGCTCGTGCTCGCAGCTCGAGTCCTCTCCCTGATGTCCTGCAGCGCTACGATGTCGTTACGGTCTCGCGCCTCTCGTCGCTGTCGTCTCCGCTCCTCCCGCTCGGCGATCTGCCGCCTCCGGGCCAGGCGGATCTGGTACAGCGCCTCCATCTCCTCTTCTCGCAGCTCCTCGTCAGCCTCCTGCGTCGGCAACTCAACCACGACGTCAATGCCGTCCCGCTCGCCCTCGCGTCCCAGGACCTGCTCCGAGTCAATGGGCTTCTGTCGGTACGCCGGGAGGGTCATGACGCTCCTGACGCTCGTGTTTCTGTCCACGCCAGACACTGCGCTGTTGCGGTTGGTGTTCGAGGTCGATGTGTCCTCCATGTTGTTGCCGCTGGTGTTTTGGGACGAGGCCCTCCTCGTGGTTGACGAGGCGCCGTCGTTGTCGTCGGTGCTCCCTGCAGCTTGGTACTGCGTGCGGTACGTTGGCACCTTCCAACTCCTCCATAGCTTCTTGAGAAAGGGTGTCGGGATGTACTTGGGGTTCGGATGACGGCCGCGGAGGGTGCGTACTAGGATCATGACGGCAATGAGGAGGACGACTCCAATTACTGCGCCGGCAATGGCCTGAGAGGCGTGAGCGACACTTCACCCGACTGACGACGGAGGAAGTTCGAGGGCACTTACTATGGTTGTGGAATTGTTCTTCCTCTTGTCGTCTTCTCTCTTCTGAAGAGTCGACGCTGCGTTGAGCAAAGAAGCACCAGTCGGCGGCTGGGCCGGTATGCCAATCCGGAACGGAAGATGCATCTTGTCAGATGTCAGGAGGGACGGGTAGGCTACATATGATGCCAGAATGGATATATTAAAGGCGCTCTCCTTCTCTGTCCGTGTCTCGACTTTCGTTGGGTTACAATGGTCGTGGTTATCGTCGAGCAGGAAGGATTATGTGCATCATAAGCTGCTGGAGATTGGCTGCAGGGCGGCCAGAGTCTGGGCCCGGAGCCTTCTCACAGGCTGGGCGGCCGGCGGTATGTCGTCAGCTCAGCAGACGTGCGGATGGTACGTGGTTGGCGTTTAGGCGGCAATCGCTTCTAGAGGGGAGAGGATCCGCGGGTTGCAGCCAGTCTGACAGCGCAAATGGCGTAATTATATGGTTGAGGAGACAATAGAGTGTCTCGGAAGTGTGAGATTGGGGGATTGGGGGGTCGAGTATTAGAGTCGAGTCGAGTCGAGTCGAGTCGAGTCGATTCGCAATGTGAAGAGAGAAGGCGAGGAAGAGAAGGAAGCGATAAGCTGTGGTGGATGTAGTGTAGGTAGTGTAGTGTAGTGGAGGAATGACCTGCAGCGGCAGTGAAGAGACGAGCGAGTGGTCAGGCTCCAGGCCAGCAACACGCGCGCATGGATGCAAATGGATGGTCAGAAAATCGTCGCCGGACTCAGCTTATTATTATCTATTATTATTACTACTACAATACTGTACATACCGCACCTAAACAGACTATTGCAGTCTCTAGTAAGTAAGCTACGTACGGCGAAGTAAATTCAATTCCCAGCAAGGCCACACACTCTTCACTCGCACACATGCCACACGCACACACACATCCTCCTCCCTCCCCCCCAGAATTGGCCACGATCTTCGCTTTGGAGCATTTAGCCCACTGCGTATCGAGCGTGACTGCTAACGTTTCCTTCAACTGGCTGGAGGTCGTTCGGCGAGAAAGGCAGGCGTTGTGCAGAAGGTTACGTATGCGGATCCTTGATGCGCCGTGGGACACTTCTCGCCAGCGACGTCACTTACAGCCAACTTCCTGCATGCTTCAACTCAACAGCCAAATCTTGTTTTCTTCAGGCAAACGGCCTTATCTCTCGAGATTCCATTCTTGCTAGAGGTCAAGATTCAAGCCACAGTCTCTTTCATTGAAGTCTCCTTCTTTGAAATCAAGCACTCTGGTCCTCCATGCAAGGGTATTGTAACATGCGCCGCTGACCTCGAACAGCCACTGCACCTTTCTGCGGCGAGCTGCTCCACTGCCGCTGTCCTCGCCCAGGGCCGGCTGCCTGTCTGCCAGTCTGCCAGTCTGCCAGACCAGGGGATCTACAGCGCCATCTCCGTGTCTCAGGGCAAACTGGCGTGGCGCAACGGGCTTGGCTGAGTGCTTGCAGGATTCACAAGCGGTGGAGTTGTCCAATAAGCGCTACTCTACTGGTACAAAGCATCCCAGACTCGAAAACCTCCCAGCGAAGAAGGTGTTCACCCGTCCCCCAGCCTTAACTGCCCCAATGCCTGCTCGTAGCGATCTTCTTCCGCGTGGCTGGGACCCCACCGCTGCGGACTACTGTCTGATTGTATGAGGCACAGCTGTCCATGTGCTAGGAAAATAGAATGGCGGACAGGACAGAACAGGCATTCGTATTCAATTTTCTCTTCGTGGCTTCATATTCAGACTCTTGCTCTGTTCCCTGGGTTTCCGGAAAGCTGAGACAGCTGTATAGTACCTTGCAGCACTCTACCACACCATATCACACACCGTCGTAGCTGTTACACGACGTGGTCTCACTTCATTATATTAGCCATCTCAGCTATCGTCAAGCGACCCAGCCAGTAGCCGTTGAGAGACTACCCCGAGCAACCCGCTGTTGTGGGATCCGCCGATCCAAGACAAGCAGAAGAAGGGCCACGGCTCAACTCGACCTAATGCATCCGTAGGGCAAGCCAATCGCCAGCACCAATCCGCCGGAACTGTCTGAACTCGGTTTTGTCGCTGGGACCAATTGCGTCTCAGAGGATCTGACTTGATAAATTAGTGCTGACGGCCCACCTCATTTTGTCGCTGTCTCTTTCTCTCTTAGGTGCTAAGTACTGCATGGTAGCGTCAAAATGGTAGCATTGAGAGATCCAGATAATTGGAATCTTTTTTTCGCTGATAGACACGATTGCCCCATTCGTTCGAACGGAGCCTCTGCTACCTATTACGACATGCCTCACTGAATTCATCTAGCTACTTCTGCTAATTACGAGAATACAGAGGCACTGGTAATTGATAAACAGTTTCGTCGAGAGTCGCAAACGCGAGCGGATCTTGAAATATTCCCAGATTCATCAATTTCTCGGCTCCTCGATCTGCAACAAAGGTCTTTGACCAGCACCGCAACATTACATGGCGACCGCTTATATAATGCATGATAGTTGACTTGCAAACTCTTTCCAATCGATTTCAGTCTGTCAAAAGAAGATCGAAGCAGTCTATAAACGTGTGTGCTTTGGCTCTGCCTGGAAAATATTCTATCAAGGTGGCTGGTTTGAAGTGAAGAAAGAGTTGAGCGTGTGCCTCATCGACTAGGATCACACATCGGCTCATCAGGCGGAATACCTGGTAAGATGGCTGGATATACTCCTTGAAGCGCAGTCTCAAAACTTGAAAATGTCGAGTCGAGTTCATCTTTGACACAAGCTATCTTCGTAGTTTCGCCAAAGTCAAGTGTCTCACAAGAGGTTGTTGTCAACCTCTCTAGAGACTCTGCTGCTAATAGAATCTTACCTCCTCGCATGACGAGTTCAATGTCTTCTTCTGGAGAGTATATTGCTTGAGAGTAGGCATCGCCACTGGATTCACCGCCAAAGATAACGATATCGGCCACTTTGCCCGGCTCAAGGGATCCAAGTTGTTTCTCGAAACCCGCTACCTTGGCTGCATTGATTGTCATCATTTCCCAGATGGTTTTGGCCTCAAGAACGAAGTCATAGCTCTTTTTCGTGGCATACAACGCACAAGCTGCCTCTCTACTCATAGTTGCAGAGCCAGAGGGCAACCAGTCGGTTCCCAACGCCACTTCGATGCCAGCGTCAAGAAGATATGTAACATTGAGAGTCTTGCCGTACAAGAAAATGTTGCTCCGAGGTGCCCAAACAACTTTTGCACCTCGCTTCGCAACGAGATCAAAGTCCTCCTCTGTTAAGCCAACCGCATGTTCAAGAACGACATTTGGCGCCATGATATCGACACTGATCCCACTGCCATCTGCTCGGGGCGTGACATCGAACGTCTTGCTTGACAAGCACTTGAACTCGTTCCGTGCCTCTGCATCGACGCCTTCGGCGACATGGCCCATGAAACGATACGCCTTCCCTGCAGTGTTCTCGTCAACGGCTTCCGGGCCGTAATCGCAATCTCCGTTTCGAAGAATGCCGGCCGAGTCATCAAGAGGAAACACAGACCACGTATCCAACGGAGGTGATAGACCTTCCTCAAGACCCTCGACAAAATCCAAGTTCCGAGTCAAGCCCGGCGACATGTAGCCGCCCACGATAGACGTAGTCCCAGAAAAGATATGCCGTAGTTCACCCCATGCAGTTGCGTCAGCTTCAGTTCCGTTCACAGGGGCATCTAACATGGTGTGGTTCCTTGCACCAACTCTCCAGTCATGACGATGGTCGTAGAGTTCTCCCGTATAGTTTAGTGGACGAACCGTGGAGTAAGCAATGTGCTCATGTAGATTAATGAAACCGGGCGAGATGACAGAATCTCTGCACTCGATAATTGTTGTATTGTGCCTTTCAACTTGCCATTGAGCCAGTTGGCACTGAGAACCAACGTTCACAATTTTTCCAGACCGAACGTAGACATAACCGTTATGTATAGCCCCGTCGGACGTTAGAACGGTTCCCTTCAAAAGCAACTCGTCATTGTTTCCTGGAGTACTAACATGGCATCCAGCAAAGACACCACCAAGTGAGACTGCGAGCAGTAGGAGAGTTGCTAGCATTGATGAAGGATATGGCATTGCGCCAGAGACTCAGCCACAATTTGTGATGTGATGGAGGCCGTTGTAAATATGAGATATAAATGCAGTTCTAGTATTGTGTCTCCGTTTTATTCTATGGCACTACATATACTAATCTCTATCTCTCGGCACCCCTCTTCCCCGCTCGTGCCGGTTCTACTCCACAATGTCTAAGATGCGAAGTTACTCCGGAGCAGAAAGTTGCTATCTCCAAAGCAAGCACCAAGTGGTTCCATGGCAGCTCTTGAATCGTGATAAGGATTCCAAAGACTTTGATATTCTCTTTGTTCTGGTCTTCTTATTACAACATGCTACATAGAGATTAGATAGGGAGATCAGAAGCAAAGAACGCGATAAGATAGCCAGATAACATTTTCATAGGTTTTGATAACAAAGATAGTGACAGAAGCTAATGCAAGTCAATCTTTACTCAAGCGATTTACTATCGAGGCATTGGGTTAACCAGAAGCTAAATCGATTTGTGGTCCTTTTGTAATTGGACTCGAATCTGACAATAGTTCAAAAAGAACATTCGGGTTTTTTGAACTTGAGCTAACCTTTAGACTTACACTTAGGCATTGATTTCAATTTATTGGTCTCAATGATCTGGAGTCTAGAACATCAAGATAATTCAGGGTTACTACTCTATGGAATGCTGCTCCTGGATCCCCCCTAAGCGGAGACACCGGCTTTACGTCGATCAATCTAAGGCATCTCAACCACGACCTTTTGAAATGAAACGCCTTGCCTCCACCGATCCTTGGCGCTCTGAATTGCCTCAAGTCCTTGCCCAATGACAAGCGGAGGGGGCGCGCATTTCAATGAACCGTTAGCAAGGGCGCCATATATCCACTTGCCCCAAACTGCAGGACCGACCTCGTTATGCAAGAAAGCCGGTCCATTTGCTATGTAGATAAACATGTTAGACGGTGCTTTCACTCTGACAGTTGGTTTCCTTCTTCACTTACAACAAGCGGTCTTGGTATCGCTAGGCATGCCTTCGACTGGTGGCATTGCAGGCACACGAACATTGGCGACGAATTTGTTTCCTCCAAGTTTGCTTGCGATCTGCGCGCACTGCTTGATGACTTCGGGCTCGATGATGGCGCAGAATGCTCCAGCGAAGTCCGCTCCCTGCAGTGCAGCTAACACATCCTCGATGACGCTATCCTTGGTATAATCGAATACGTAGTCGGCTCCCAGGTTCTTCATACTCTCAAGATTATGGCCGTTAGCAGTGGCGGCAACCTTGAAACCAGCGCCTTTGGCAAGCTGGATTGCACATGCCCCCATGCTCGAGCCGCCACCCCAGATAAGGACCACTTTATCATTTGGCGTTGGGTCGACCTGTGGAAATGGCAAAGCAAGCGTATCAGCTTGGAAGAGTCCAGATGCTGCCACACCGAGCCCCATCGGCAAAACACTAGCTTCAGCATAGGAAACGTTGTTGGGCAACTTGGCGATGGCATTCACGCCTGTCTTGAAGAACAACTGAAACGCGCCATTTGATCGATTCCCGTCCCCCGTGGGATTGAGGAAGGCAACAACACGGTCGCCAACTTTGAAGTCCGTTACAGCAGAACCAACAGCCGTAATATCACCGGATGCATCATGGCCGCCAATGAATGGATAGCTGATCGGAAACATACCGGTGGCCTGGATTGCCCAGTCAACCGGGTTGATGGCAACTGCTCGATTCCGGATGACGACCTCATCAGGCCCGGGTGTTGGCATAGGGGCATCATCAATCTGCAATGGCCTCTCTTTGGGGTTCTTGAGCCAAGCAGCTTTGTTCGCCATATCGAGAGGAGATATAGTATTAGATGACTTCCTTTTGGTGAATGCGTCCGAAAATACAATGATATATTACCGTTGGCATTGCACCAATTTATAGAGGATGCTATATTGAGAAACTCAGGTCTTGTTTTTGTAACATGTTACACCAACGTCGTGCTTTAGGCGTAATTAAGAATGTACAAAGTTATCTCCGGAAAGCAAGCAGAACTTCTTCGGCTTGAAGCCAAATTATGGGCGGACAGATGCTATAATTCATGATGCAAAATAGTAAGTGGCGTCTTTCAAAAGGTTTGACGACAAGCACTTACATCTGATGTCTCAAGCACTGGTGTTAGTCGAGCCGTAATTGATAAATGTTGCGCAAAGCTAGCCTAGATAGGTGTAGTGTAATGAATTGCTCAAAGCTAGCCCGATTCAGCCCAGTCTCGGAGGTAAGTATACAGCTTCTATGACATATGTCCGCACATTACTACTCATTTTGCCCTGCTATGGCTTCATCAATCTTCAGTCCAATCCACACTCAGATCCACAGTCAGTGATTCTTGTATCCGGGCTCTGTTCCTTGAACATGAAGGGAGTGCTTTTCCCGGAATGGACTACTAGGACATGGTTAATTACGGCATTTCAAGGGCTTGCGCAACATGTAAGCGAAGGCACAAAAAGGCGAGTCAGCCGATCTGATCAGGAGTTGCCCATCGATAATCTGGATAAATGCTGACATATGTAGCTGAACAGTGCGACGAGACACGTCCGGTGAGTTATTCAATTATTTTATTCTCTCTCTATTCTAGAGACCGTGAAGCTTGAAACCAAGGATGGCCACAGGCCGCATTGAACTGCCCATACTCCTCGTCTGCTAACGCCATCATCCCTTTGTCGTCATTTAATTTTCTCCTCCAGTAACGAAATATATTGTGAAACTCGTTCGATTACACTATTTGCTAACTCTGGCTAGTCTTGTAAAAGATGTCTCAAGACGAATCTCGTCTGCCCCGGCTATCAGAATGAGGCAGACCTTATATTTCGTCGCTACCACAAGAGAGAGAGGATTGTTCCGCCTTCTCGAGGAACCAGACAGCCTCAATCCCAAAATAACAGCTCATCTTTTGCGAGCTTGCTGCAGAACAGGTTGAATGACAGTGACGTTAACCAGATTGCATTAGCTACCTTTTTAGATGACTATTGTATCACCTCCAAAGACAAAACCCTGTCGCGGGGCTACTTAGACAACCTCGGATCTCTGCTTGCTCATGGACAGTCATCTTCAGACTTATCAAAAGCAGCAATGGTAGCAGCCCTTGCAAGTTTCGCAAATAAACTCGGCGACCCACGTCTTCTTCATCGAGCCAAGGAGTCATACTCAGACCTTCTCGTCGCCTTCCAGTCAACCATGTCGAACCGTGTCACAGCAAGCACGATCGAATCACTTGCAACTGCTGTGTTGTTAGGACTTTTTGAGGTAATTTCGAAAACCTAAGTATATGCACTGGTTTTCGCACAGTAACAGTACAACAGATCATCTCTGCAGGTAAAAGCAACCCCGGGAAACATAGCACACACTATCGTGGTGTAGCTGCGATTCTCTTATCCGAAGATTCTCCCTTTAGTCGACACTCAGTCGAGGACGTCGTTTCCGGGGGAGATCCGGCTCTACCTCAAGGATATTCAAAAGAAACACTCAAGGTATCCTCTCATATGGCACTATGCTAAATAACCATACATTATTGCCTCGTGAGTTGCTAATTAATAATATCTATTTAGTGGCCTCATGACCTCGGTATTCTTTGCCCTCCAAATGCTGCGTCGCCCAGCCAGAGCCTGGATGATCTCCTTTTCCGCTATTCACCTATTTTTCGCAAATTTCAACTCCTTGAATCAGATATCCCTCTATCCCTGATTGAAGTTCAAGAGCTCAGGGAAGCTGTAGTAAACATAGACAAGGAGTTCGCGCTGTGGCCGGCAAAACAAAATCAAGAATGGATGCCAAGAACTCTTGGTATAGTTGCCAAAGGCGGCGTGCTTCAAGATACAGTTTCCTCTCCCACCCGTGCTGACACATATTTCGATGGTATTTCAGACTCAAGATACCTGCCTAGATTCGTATTGGGCTGACAAAGGTGATTTCTAGTCTACGTAAGCTCTGTCTGGAATTGCTATCGTAAATGTCGACTTCAACTTCTGAATTTTATTCATAAATGCTCTCATCGAGTACAAGAACTTGACCCTGATGATGCGTCTTTTCTGACCATTCAGGATTATATATCAAAAGAAGCCCAAGCACTGGCTGAAAGCATAGCAGCATCAATTCCGTTTCACCTAACTCGCAATCCGGAAACTTTTCTGGCTCACCGACGGCGGGAAAGCTCAACCAAAGGAGAAGTGCCGGTGCCTAATAACTCAATTAGCGGTCTCATGATCATGTATGTGCTCTACGTGGTCTCGAAACTTCCTATTGTGCCGATACATTTGAGAGAAATATTTAAGCAGCATCTGGCTTGGATTGGACGAGTGATGGGAATTGGGCAAGCATCGTTGCTGGCTGATGTAAGTATCTGCAACTATCATCAAGAAAACGGAGATACCTTGTGTGCTAAACCAGTCGTATATCTAGCCTTCATTCGCATTTCCCAAGGAATTTCTTGCTGACGGTCATATTCTGGTTTGGGCAGGAACACTTGTCTTGCAGGAAAACGGAGAGGAGGGGTTGGCCAAGCTAAGATATGGCTTTACATGAACATAACCGGGAGTTAACATTTCAGTAATGTTCACTATAAACTGCTCTTGTTGCAGAAAGATTTTCCTGAACGGCAACTTGATTTTGATAAATGGAACTTCCTTTACATATATCAGAAATTCGGCATTAGCATTACTTGGCTGCCGTCCTAATTGCCAACTTTTAACGCCATTATTTTAGCCTCAAGTTGCTGTGCTCACAAATATTACACTGATATAAACCACATCTCCGCCTTCACAGCTCACCCGTGTTCGTATGGTTTTGAGTCGTCCCGAGAACTCTATAAAGAATGCGTTCAAGAAACGACAGCACACCATCCGATTGAAGGGAGAGGACGAAACCAAGGCGCTCAATCACGATATTTCCCTGGTGATACAAGTATGCATCAACGATCTAAAAGATAGTGGAATCCCAGAGTTCCACCTCACAGATGTTGGACAATCGAAACTCCCCACAACTGATCATAAACAAGAGGATTGGTCGTTGGACGACGACCTGCAAGTCCAAAAGTACGAAGAGCTAACTTCACCTCCCGAAATCACGGAGTTTTAACGATTATCACTAGTTCATCAATTTCTGGACTATTCAGCTTCTACATGGGCCTTAAACTTTGATGAATCTTTCCTTAGTCCTGACATGGAGTTATGCTCTTAAATGATGGAGTTCTGTCGGCCTATACTTGAATCCCTAGATCAATCCGATCAAGTTCAATGTACAGAAACAAAAGCAATGGCATGCACGGGATTGGGTTCTGGGTCAAGATACCCATTTTTGACGCTTGCAAATGCGACTCTCACCAATTTCGAGGGGCCTGTTGGGAAGATGGTTGTACATTGAACACTGACGAGCAACGTGCACGAATTATATTTGGTCTGAGGCTTGACAATCTCGTCACACGGTTCTGTGAACTTTATGTTAGTGAAAACACAACAAACATACACGACTTACTCATTCCGGCTGCCGGAATGGGTTCTCTTCACGGATGTGTTTGGCTTGTAGACAACGGGGCTGACGTCAACGACGTCGACAAAAAGTCACAGCATAACCCCCTGAGTAGCGCCATCCAGTCATGTCACCCGGACGTTGCCGACTTCTTGGTTAAGGAAGGTGCCTTACTAAACTATCCCACTTTTGATGGAGGCATCCAGTGTGCCAATCACCATCGTACGGGGCTTCACTGCGCTGCAAAGTTTGGATGTCGCGGAGTTGCGCAGCTTCTCGTAAAGTGCGGCGCCGACGCTGATGCGAGGAATTCGCAAGACCGCACACCTCTCTGGTACGCCAGAGAGTCAAACCAAGGCGAAATTGTCCAGCTCTTGCTGTCGAAATCAGTAGATATTAATGCGAAAGACGCCAACCACAAGACCATCAGTCACAATGTGGCCACGCACGGTGACTTATACACCATGAAGATGGTTTTAGGACACAATCCAGATGTCAGTGCTGTAGACGACCAGGGAAACACTCCCTTGCATTACTTACGACGGCGAACAACCATGGATGTGTGGATTGCGGGTGGGTTTGTCCCCAAAGAAAGGGGGAGCTCATCTTCAACTAACAATGTTGAACCATTTGGAATGGGGTTTTGGTCCTCAACATCATCGTTAAATGTTGCCAGTATCTTTGTGACAAGCAATGAGGAGTGACAAAGTCTTGGACCAGGCGACATGCCACGAGGGGAGACAAAATGGTGGTCTAAATAAAGTGAACTGCCATGACTCTCAATACAAGTTCTAAGATGTAATTAATAAACACGGGTTTGCATCACAGGCATTATATTAATATCTAGGCAGGCTCGACAGCCGGGGCAGAGGGTTTGAGAACGCAGACCGCATCCGCCAACCATCGAACATATGCTGACGGAAATGTTGGCATATTCTAAAATTTAACCTTTCAAAGACTGATAGTCTTATAAGAGGTAGATAGCGACTAAAACAGGACAACCCCTATCTCATGGCATACACTCCATTACACACGACTAACAAGGCCCTTGATATAAGCCTTGAAACGGTGGCACTTGCTCAGCTTTCCCTAATTGGTGAATCGCGGTGAGTCGAGGAGGCTGATTGGTCCTGAATCATTCAACGATTGTGTGTTGTGATTGCACTATCCTGATTCCTCAAGCCAAGTCTAAGATAGCCCCCACTCTCTCAATTCCCTGTTGATGCAATGGTAAGCGCGGACGAATATTGGAGCCGTATATAACAGATTAGCAAAATCATAAATGAGACAGCAATCTGTAACGCTTCCTCGCCGGGGCTGTTTTCAATTCTCCAGTGTCCAAATTCCCGGCTGAGCCCCCAAGACATCAAAAGAAGACGTAGAGCCTCCTCTATACCCGCTATCTGCGTTTCATTTCGACAATTTACCCAAAATGCGACGTTTTATCTACTTATCAAATACGGTACTTTTCTTCTACTTCGCGTTTGTAGTATTCCTTGTCCCTCTATTAGGAGCAGGGCAGACGGTTTCTATCAATAATGACCTAGGTGTCGGGCACCGCTGCGTCTCACGATGCCTCATATATACCCTTTATAGTGGCGATGACATAGGCGATGCTCTCAAATGCGGCGAGCCCTACGACAATGACTGTTACTGTGCAACAGCCTCAGCCTCTGCCTCTGTCGCGACTTCGTGGTTGGATAAGTGTGCTGGCTCCGCCTGTGCCGCGGGTGACTTGACAAGGGACCTGAGCACTATGCAATCCATTTACGCCTCGTATTGTATGAATGCGGGATTCACACAGCCGGGAGCCACTGCTTGGTACGATCCGTCCGCCGCTGAAACCACAAGCAGCAAGACGGCCACGGCAGAACCCAGCCGCACAGCAACCTCAGGTCCACCAGAGACAACGACCCAATTGACCATCGTGACGCAGACGACTAGTGGACAGGGCTCTGGACGGTCGAGGGGTAAGTCCTGGTCGTTTTGGGTTAGGGTGACGGTGCCTTTGCTGTTGGTGCTCTAGGTACTGCTTCTTGGAGCTTTCCTTGGAGATATATGGCTGACATCTTGATCTCCCCAGTTACCGTTCAGGCAACGTCTACATTGTGGGTTGGGCCGGATGGAACGCCAGTTTCGGGCCCGATAACGATCGGTTCAAAGGAAACCACTTTAAAAATAGGTCTCGGTGTTGGTATACCCGCTGCGCTGGTGGCCATGTCGTTGGGAATTTGGTTTTGCATTTGGAGGAAAAGGCGACATCGTAACAAAGATATTTCAATGGCGGCGGGATCTCAACCGGTTATGGGAGAACAGCCTGGTACATATCTCGGAACGCCTGGCCCTCTTCCAATAGCAGGCTCGCCTCCACCTCCAACTCCGGTGGTGTCGCCAATAAGCAGAAAACCAGTTGGGAGCCCTGAATCACAGATTAGAGAGCTCTCTGGTCGGGGATTTAAGAGAGAGCTAGACGGGCAAGAGGTGCATCCGTTCCCAACAATCGTACCGAGAGACCCTGTTGTCGTGCCAGGCCAGCATGAGTTGATGGGAGAGGGAAGGATACATGAATTACCAGGCCAAACGGATTACGGAGCGTATTCAGGCAAATAGTTACAAAGAATGAAACTACTTACTCAAGTTAACCTGATTAGATCAACAACTCATTGATTAAACCCAAACAATCAAGCCACAAAGCCTGTAAAGACTATCCTCATGTAATAAGTAATGATGCTGTACGGTTTCGAAACAATAGTTCTCTTTAGGGAGTAGGTTATCAGTCTCATAATTTAGTGCGAACGTCGATGTGATAGACATTGCGCCACTACACTGCCACCTGCCCTAACTGACCTGATATAGCGTTGGGTGGCGTAGTCGCGCTCTGGTTGGATGATCTGCCGCTGATAGACAGCAACATGTCACAGTGCATTGCGGATCCTTCTTAACCAACATATTTCTATTAAACAAGTCTAAAATCACCATCCATTTCCTTTATGATTGCTCTTCATGACCCGAGCAAGGTGATGATGAGAGCCGTTCCTCCTCGCCGCCCCATCATGCCGCACGTATCGTCTCTGCCTCCGGATCCCCTTCCCATGGAGCAGTACTCGCCAGAATCAGCGGCCTCTTTCCGACGCCGGAAGAAAGAGCGCGCATGGAAATGGTTGAAAGATGCGAGAGCGGAGGCGTGGGCGGATATTCGAACGAGGGGCTATCGCCGAGCTGCCTTCTGGGTTCTCCTTCCCTGTTGGCAAGCAGGTCTTCTTTGGTCTCTGATAACGATTACTATGTTCAGCAATCTAGGCTTTTATGAAGATTTAACTTGCCGACCTGATGGTACATTCAGTGTTTGGGGTGGCGGGTATAGCCCGTGGTTTGTGGATGGGTTCTTCCAGATCACTCTCGGTTTTGGAACTTTGGACTTCACCCAAGCAAAGATCATTGATATTGTCTGGGATATTGTATGTCTTAGTCGCCTCCTCTTCCATCTGCCATATTTTGGGTTATCATCGGAGCTGACAGGTATGTTTTAGGGCGTTGGCCGAATGGGTCAAGCTACACTGGTCTTTGTATCCTGGAAAGCTTTTTCTACATATGTCAGGAGCTCAATGCTGAGTCGCCCAACAACGTACGATACTTACTGGACGATATTCATGAGAGATGAAGCCTCTCTATGGAGCACCATCCGAGTCGCCCACGACTTCATGAAGAGGCACGACTTACAGTCTAGAATTGCAAAAGTATTCATTGTCCTTACAATGGTTTTTGTACTGGCGTTTCCGACCCTGGCTAGTGCAATGACAGGTTATACGTCGAAAGTCGGTGCTTTTGTCCAGGATCGAGATCAGAATCTCATCCAGTTTTCCCAATATAAACTCTTAGCCTACATCATACATGATGGTTGGAGAATTGGCCTCTCTGGTAACTATCCTATCGTTTACCAAAACGCGACTGGTGAGAGTCCGAAAACGACTACGATTTCAGGTTTAGTGATGCTGACTAGGATTATAATCCATAGTCGATCCCCTGATTTATCGAGGCAGTTATTTTTACGCAGGTTCCGATTGTCAATACCGATCCAATGAGGAGCTGTGCAATTTACAGCATAATGTTTCCAATTGTACGAGACCTATAAATGAAGAAACATAGTGGAAACTAACAGCCTTGCAAGATGTGGCTACATACGGATTTCTAGGGCTATTGGATGATGAAACGATATGGATGAACAAAACTCTACCTAAGCCCTCGCTCAACATTTCAGCATATTACTTAGAGCCCTGGGAACGCTCTAGTTTTGAACTTGCTGGGTATAATTGGACCAATCCATTGACCGGCGAGAAGCCCTGGAATACTTCAACTCCGTCCTTCACCATGTCTAACACTACTTATGCGCTTGCTGATGTTATCGAGAATGGTTTTTGTCAGCCATTAGGAGTGAGTCGAGATGTCCTAATACTACCAATTCTTGAACTGATAGTACTATAGACATATGTCTGGGGGTTTTCATTTTTACAGCTTTTTATTATGCTTTTGTTTCTACAGCTCTGGACCATAGGACTGTCCTTTCTATATTTCAAAAGTCATCTCATACTCAGGCATAATGGAATGGTGGTGCCCAGCAGGTACAAGGCAGTTGTCGAATTGGTCCAGGCTATGCATGAAGGTTTCGAGGATTTCGGCTTAAAGATGAATGATCTAACCAATAGACAGCTGGACTCTTGCATCTCCAAGAAACTAGCAGGAGGAAAAGTCTATCTGCACCTTGAGTCATCTCCAGCTAAGTATTCCGTGCGGAAAGCATTTATGAGTTGGATTAAACAAGATAAATGGTGGCTTGGTGGACTTCTGATTTTGTGTGTCTTTGATATGTTTGCTTGGCATTCAATAGGATTCGGGACATTTTACTGGACTGTCATCTGCTGGACACTGACAATTTACGTCTCAATAACTATGGGGACCACTCAAAGGAGCCGGATATATATCTGTTTTTGCGGGGTGTGCACCAGCATACTGTTCGCCATCATATATTCATCTGTTAATCGGTCGTGAAAGCAAGAGGGACTTTAGTTTTGTTTGATTCTGTTGAATGTATGCCTGAACCAATGAAGGCTAGAAAGCTTCCGCATGGGCTGAAACAATTTACAACTCGGCGAGACGGTTAATGAATAGTACCTACAGTCAATAAGTGAAGAAAGTTTCGAGGAGCGTATGAACAACATCCTCAAACTGTGATTAACCCTTCTTATCAGAATACTTTCTGAAGATACTGGTTAGCTAACAAAAACGTGTTACATTTGCCGCGCCAAAATAGTATATCGGACTGGGGGGGCCTGAAGAAACCCCCAGGGTTTTCTGTGCTGTGCAACGAGAAAGAACGATTGTTATACTCCTGATGACACGACAACCCTTAACAAGGGCCGCTGGGCAGGTTTTTCCCAATAGGACTACTACTCAAGTTGCCAAACTCGTCACTTAGATCACTTGCTTGTCAGCCTTTGCCGATTGAAACAGTCAAAGTGGCTATGCAAGACACTTCAGAGAATGGACTAGTGAGGACCTTATAGAGAAGGGTGTTTACATTAAATATTAAGTGCAACCGTTCAGCAACATACCATCATTTGGGCCACCCCTGCCAAGGTAAACCACCGTGAATTGTAGACGAGGAAAACGGCTCACCCCCGCAATCACAAACAAAATTGTAGATATCTTAGCGCCGGGATTGTGCTGCATTGCCGGGTCGTCCCCTGTTCATTACTAGCAGTAACGGCCCCTGTCATAGCATGATGAATGCTGGCCAGTGAGATAAGATTTGGGTCACCGATTCGCTGGTTGCCTAGAAAGGCAGGTCGGACTCAACAACAGAAGCCTGCTCGCCATTCCATGACGACAAGAGATGATGTGCACGCAAAACCCCTCATGCTTATGCCCCATCATGGGAAGCAAGTATGCATGCTCTGGCCCGTCCCACACGCCTGGATCAGCGGGATGAGGGGGCCGGGTTACACTGCAGGCGTGAGGGTAAACAGTATCTCATCGCAATTGCTAAGCCAGGAGAGCTTTGCTGGATGGGCTGAGACGCGTGATGCCTTGGAGAATAAATATCGGACACCCCCATATATTCAATTGAGATCTTGAGTATCGTGCCGCATAGCTGAGCTTCTTTGAATCGGCCATCGCACAAAAGCCCTTGCTTTGTCATCGAGAGACTTCAGCAAATCCGGCACGAACATGTACTGGGCATCGTTGTTGGTCGCGATTGCGACACTGTTCTTGGGACAAGACATTGTCACGATCGCACAACCATGCGGTGATGACACGACTTCAATTAACGGAACTCCGTTTCCGCCATTGATCGAAGCAACCTTAGAGGATCTTGTGCGAGGCTTGGAGACGAAGCTCTTCACTAGTGTCGACTTGGTCAATGTCTACGTTGATCGCATTTTTGAAGTCAACTCCACGCTCCATATGGTGACCGAACTCAACCCAGATGCATTGGAGATTGCCGCTGTGCTTGACGGGGAGAGAAAATGTGGCAAGACAAGGGGTCCCCTTCACGGCATTCCAATCCTGATCAAGAATAATATTGCGACGGATGATAAAATGAACAATACCGCTGGATCTTATGCGCTGCTTGGCGCTAAAGTTCCGAAGGATAGCACTATGGCTGCCAAGCTGAGGAAAGCTGGCGCCATTATCTTGGGCAAGACCAATTTGTCTCAATGGGCGAACTACAGAAGCTTCAACACCAGTAACGGCTGGTCCGCCTACGGAGGACAGACGGAGGGAGCATACTACCCCGGGCAGGACCCTTCGGGCTCTTCATCGGGCAGTGGTGTCGCAGGCTCGCTAGGCCTTGCGCTTGGTACTCTCGGAACCGAAACAGATGGCTCCATCGTATCCCCTTCTGATGTGAACAACCTTGTTGGGATTAAGCCAAGCGTCGGATTGACCTCACGGTACCTAGTTGTTCCCATCTCAGAGCACCAGGATACTATAGGCCCCATGACCAGGAGTGTCAAGGATGCCGCTTATATCCTTTCCGCCATTGTCGGTCCAGACGCAGCCGATAATTATACTTCAGCAATCCCTTTCAAAACCATGCCAAAGTATGAAGAGGCTTGTGATTTCTTTGCGCTGAGAGGAAAGCGCATCGGTGTGCCACGAGCCCTCTTCAACATCACAGGATATGAGTATCTTCAACCGGTCATAGACGCCTTTGACGCTGGTCTAGACGTCATCCGCGGCGCCGGGGCTACCGTTGTCGACAATGTGACACTCCCGGGCTATGAAGTCCTTGCAACTGCTGGATTTGAAACTATTGTGCTTGAAGCCGACTTCGTGACAGATGTTGCCAAATATTTTTCCGAATTAAGCTACAATCCACATAATATCACATCCCTTGCAGAACTCCAAACATTCACACAAGAGTTTCCGCTTGAAGACTGGCCGGAGCGCGACACGCTCATCTGGGAGTCTGCTCTGAACCTGACTTACGGCAACGAAGCCCCTGAATTCTGGTCAAACTACTCAGCTGGACAGTACTATGCCGGACCCCTAGGCATCTTCGGCGCGCTCAAGAACTACTCGCTTGACGCGCTTGTCGTGCCAACCATGTTCTCGTCTTACCTCCCGGCACTGCTGGGCGCTCCCATCGTTACGGTGCCCCTGGGTCGGTTCCCGGATGATACGGAGGTGCTCCCGAACGGGTTCGGGAATTTGAATGCGACGGCGCCAAACATACCGTTTGGCATCGCGTTTCTGGGGGCCCGGTTCGACGAGTATAACTTGATTGGCTATGCGTACGCCTTTGAGCAGCGGACGCTGGTAAGAAACACCATTACGCCGTATATCCAGCCTACGACGGAGCTGGCAGACGTGGTTTCGAAAAGGAAAGTGAGGTCAAAACTTATCTAGCTGATACATGATACCATTCTTCGGGATCTTGGTAACCGGCTCGGAATTATTAAGGACACAACGGTATTCTAGATCATAGTATCTGTGCAGGTACAGCTCTTGATGTTAAATTAATGGCAAGTCGGTTAAAAAGTGAGGATGAATATGCATCCAAGAGCACGACTCTTCAGTACTGTATATGTAACAAATTTTGAATAATGATAATTATTTTGGTGGCAACGCATTTGCCATGCCATTGAATCGCAATGAAATTGGTGAAGTTAGAACTTGGAAAGAGGGGGGGGGGATGTCGTCCATTAACGTTTAGGGGCTTGTGTCCAAGCCCGAATCTAGCGCTAGAAGCCCCCGTGCCGGACCACGGCCTAGTGCGGCGCACTCGCCGGCTTAGAGATCGGCAGAGAATTTAGACTTTGCTCTTCGTCAAACAAGACCTACATATTTCAAATCTAGAAAAGTTGAATGTTCAGGGCACAACCAACCAGACCGCCTCATCCCGGTATATTGATCAGGGACAAACGGCCGTGAGAGTCGATCTCGTCGCGGTTTCCCCGCTTGCAAAATGCTTCTCCGGCGGGACGAGGATCTTGAGGACGTCTTTCCCTCCATGGACACCCGAGAGGACACAACGGATATTTCCATCCAAAGAGAAGATCCACTTGATGATGTGTTTGGGTCAGGCCCGCCGTCGCCAGATCTTGGAGATCAAACCCGCGAGGATCGTGCCAGAGCCAGTGACTCTCATCCTTCAGACATTCAACGGCTTCAGGCGGAGCACTCTACGGCTGGCTACAGGGATGGCATCACTGCTGCAAAAGCGCAGAGCATACAGGCGGGCTTCGATGAGGGGTTCAGCCTGGGCGCCACCATAGGGCTCAAGGCTGGCCAGCTACTGGGAATCCTAGAGGGCATCGCCGGCGCATTAAGAGACGGCGGTGGCGAACGCGCCGCTGACGCAGAGAAGTTGTTGGCTTCTGCTAGAAGCGACCTCAACACCAAAGCTATTTACGCCGAGGAATACTGGGCCCCGGATGGCACGTGGAAGTACGACGTGCAGTCCAGGGCCGAGAAGGAGGAGGGCGACATTCTCTTTTCGCACGTCGCAGATGCTCACCCGCTGATCCAAAAGTGGTCGGCCACAGTGGAGGCTGAAGTGCAACGATGGGGTATCGATCGCGATGCGCTTGAAGGAGTGGAGGAAGCACCGAAGCAAGCGGGAGCAAAGCCAGTCACTGCTGCCGATGCGCAAGCAAAGCCTACGGGCCGAGATGCGTTGAATTGGTGAAGCCGTAAATGGCAAGCCTTCTATCTCACATTTATCAGCGGCAATCATGCTGCAAAACGATTGTCTGCGAACACGGATCATTCCAGTTTTATTATCCGACCAGGTTATTGAAGCGATCTGCTGCTCTCGCGCAGCGTGTGAAGTTACGCCACCGACCGTACAAAGTGGCTGTCAAAGTGTCCGCAAAATGCTCACAAGTTATATCCCAAACTATGCAGGTACGCAACACATTCTCCTCGTTCAAATTTTATTACTAATAGTAATGGTATAGAGCGGTCCGGTCCAAATAGTTATAGCTAGTAGATATACCCGGGAGAGCAAAGCCTGGCTTTCTTGCGGTCTACCAACTTGCACGGCCGCTCTTATGGCAGTCAGTGGCCAAAGTATGAATTGAAACAAGTTAGGAACTCATGGATAATTTAGATATCTTAAATTGATAAAAATGACGGGCTAACCAAAGCTCCTTATCCTAAGCCAGAAGTGTACGTTTAGACTCACAAATCCAACACCAAGAATCAACCAAACTTCTTCTCAAACTTCTTCAACATGCCCGTAACACCCCTCTCCAGCCGCCCCGCGTTCTCCTCCACCTTGCCCCTGACCTCCTTCTTTGGCTGGTAGTTGACCGCCGTCTCGCCCTCGGTCGGCCGATACGCCTGCTGGTGGACGCTGTAGTCCACGCCGCCGGCCAGACCCGGCCCCTGGTTTGCGTAGCTGTACTGACTGTACCCGCCCGGCGGAGGCGGCGGCATGCCCGGACTCGAGATGGGCGGCGTCGGCGTGAGGTGCGGCTGCTGCAGTGGGGCGAAGCCGGGACTGCCGGGGAATTGGCCGCCGTACGGGCTCGTCATCGGAGAGGCCATACCGTGTACGGGCATTGTGGCTGCGCGCGTCAGGCCCGGGTGTCCTGGGCCCAGCGAGCCATAGCCCGAGGGAGGCAAGCCGGGGCTGCCTATCGGCGGTCCGGGAAAACTAGGCGCACCGGGCGGAGAGTGGAAAGCTGGAGGAGGAATGCCGGGACTGAGTGGGCCTAGTCCGGATGGGTGGATGGGCAGTCCAGGAGAGAACGGCGTCGAAGCGTCGTGCACCAACGTAGCATGGAGAGGGTTCAGGCCGCCGTCCTCGGGCGGAGGCGTCTTCTCGCGATGGCGAATCGCCTCTGGCGCTGCTGGTGCCGCCGGGTTGTACGCTATGGGAGCAAAGTTGTGAGTCTGGGGCTGCGGCGATGGAGAGCCACCCGATACAGCGGACAGCGGGGGTGGAGCGAACGACGGCACGCCGTTTTGAGTTTGGCCGGCACTGGCATATGTGGGATCTGATATCGCGGCATTCTCAAGCTTCTGGACGACGGCGCTGACAGCAGCGTCGTGTCGAGGCGGCGGGCCAGGCTCGTCGAGGACGTCGATCTGGTTTGGCGGCAGCAGCCTCCTGATGCCGTTGACGAACTGCAAGGCGTCCTGCTGTGTCCAGAAGTAGATGTCCAGGGAATGAAGCTTATAGTGGTATTTGTTCTCGTTGCGCGGATCGTATGTCGGGAGGTGCCATTCCTCATGTCCGTCCACGGCACCGACACTTATGGTGACCATGCATTGCTGCTTGTACGAATAGCGGATGTGGGTTCTGTCTAGGTCTTTTCGTATTGACTGTCATTAGTCATGTAACCTGGCTGAATCATCGTGAGTTGCTCGTCTTACAGCCGTCAAAAGCATCTTGGTCATCTGAGCCCGGCTGGTTTGCGATCTCAACGCGCGAGCGCCCCGCATTCGCATCCTCGAAGAGATACACGTAAGATCCCTTGTCGAAACGGTGATGCGGCGGAACGTCTGTGGGTGGCCCGTAGAAGTAATGCACATCCGCAAAGCTTGCAGAGCAAAATGTCAGCTGGCCAATTCATCCTTCCAGCTTGGAAGCTTTAACTTGTGAGGGCATCGCAGGGTTGACATACAGGGTGGCTACGTTCTCCTCACCCGGCTGGACAGCCATTTCGCGTGGTGCTCGAGAGCCACGGACTAGAGAACAAGACTTGAAAGCAGAAGACAACGAAGCTGAGGTAATTGAAGCAAAACCAGGCCGCGCACTGCGATCGCTTGAAATCTGATGTGACAAAGACAACAAAAAATACCAAGAGGAGGGGAGCGATGCCGCCCAAGCTTACCTTTTGTACCTGGCGCAACCAAGGAGCATGCAAGCGAAGCGGGACAGCTTCCTCGCCTACTTAACCTTTACTTACCTGAAGAATGCCCATACCCTGACAGCACTAGCCGGCATGATACAGTAGGCTTGCACCGTACAACGCCCAGCGTCTATCCATGCCTGCAGCTTGCAGATGACGAGCGATGGCTGTGAGTGGCACGAGTGGTCGCCAGAACAGGTCGCTCGGCGCTTAGAAGCCTCGCTGTGGTAGAAATGCCCCTCTACAGCGGCATCTCAGCTGGCCAATCGGCGGCGCTCGTGGGGTGCTTTCGGCACACTTAGTTACCACTTACTTCAAGGTTGGCCTGTGCGCTTCCCGGCGCTGTTGAACTTGGCCAGATCGGGATGGCTTGGGTTTTTTTGACAAGAGCCGGAACATCCCATGCGCGAACATTTTGATGCCATTCAGACCTGCCATGCGAAGCCGCCTCTTCGGCACCAATTACGACGATATACACGCTCGACGAGGCTAGAGGTCAGCCCAGAAAATGAATTGCATACTGCTGGTATACTCAACTGATCAGTAATAGACATCTCACAAGACCTAGCTTCATCTTCGAAGAGAGGAAGCTCGTCTTCCAGGGGCTGCCATCCGACTCACACCTTCATATCCTCTTCCTCTTCCTCCTCCTCGACCAATCCCCCCAAACCTCCTCACAGCCTACCGTCACCATGGGCATCCAGCAGATCGTGCACGCCTGCTCGCACCTGCAGAACGCCTCCAAGGCGCGGCTCGGCCTCACCTCCCTGCCCAACCACCAGTACAACCTGCGGCTGGCGCTCGCGCTGCACCGCGCGGGCTACATCTCGTCGGTGACGCGCGGGGGGCCCACGCCGCCGCCGCCCGAGGCCCTGCTGTCCGCCGAGCCCGAGCCCGTCACCGCCGCCAACGTCGCCAGCCGCCGCCTGTGGCTCGGCCTCAAGTACTGGAACAACGAGCCCGTCATGCGCCGCCTCCAGGCCGTCAGCAAGCCCAGCCGCTCCGTCACCCTCGACCTCGGCTCCCTCGAGCGCGTGGCGAGGGGGTTCCCTGCGGGCTATGTCAAGGGCCTCACGCTGGGTGAGAGCTTGTTCCTGAGCACGGATCGAGGCGTCTTGGAGGTCCGGGAGGCGATAGAAAAGAAGGTTGGCGGATTGGTGCTTTGCAGGGTGTCGTGATGAGCATTGAACTGGTGGAGGGAGAAAGACTGAGACTAGGCAAGAGGGGGTCTGGAAGATGCATTCATCTCTCATGTCAAAACAAGGCGTTGAACTCCGGAGCAGATCCGCAGAGTCTGGACCATCTGGTCGACATGCGGATGGTCCATGATCTATATACCATGTACAAAAGTGTAAGGGCTTACTTATTGTATCATACTTGCTGGCAGCCACAGCATTTCTCAAGGCGAGAACAATCTACATCACTTTAAGCATTAAAAACAGTGCGAGGGTAGATGTCTCCATTCTGTCTAACAAGGCGCTGTAACTTTTTTGTATAATCTACTGCGTCCGCCAGCAGCAACTCCTTTGCTCCAACCAGGTATCACAAGAGGGTAAAAATCTCCTCCAGAAAGACAAATTGCCTCTCCTCATTCAAGATCAAAGGGTGTATGCAATCTTTTCTTTCTTACACAGCAGTGGCTTCAGGCTCGGCCTTGACGGCAGCCTCAGGCTCAGAGTCTACACTGTTTGTAGCCTTCTCCTCCTCCTCCTCCTCCTCCTCCTCGTGTTCTTCAGCAATTGGAGCTTCAATGATAGGCTCGGGCTTTTCCTCTGGCTCAGTCTCAAGTGCGGCCTCTTCAACTGGCTCCTCCGTCGGGTTCTCTTCTGTCTCCTTGTGATCTCCGTTCAAGAGCGGCTCAGCAGCCTCTTCTATCTCCGGCTCATGAGATTCTTCAGGAGCGGCTTCCGACGCTCGGGGGATCTCCGCGGGTTGCGACTCCTCCAGCTGGGATTCTGGCTGCTCCGGTGCTGGTGCGATCTCAACGTCCTTTTGGACCACTGGAGTCGGCTCTTCAACCGGGGTCTCTTCCTCAACCTGAGTCTCGACCTCCGGCTCGGCGTCCTTCTCCTCGGGCAGGGCGACGTCGCCCTCTACCTCCTTAGCAACGCTTATTGCCTCCTCAGCAGAAGCCGTTTGCTCAACCACAGGAGCAATCTCCTTGGCTGCCGATGTCTCCTCCTTGGGCTTCTCCGGAGCCGCGGCGGGCGCAACCACCTTAGGCACGAGTTTCCTGACCACCGGATCTTTCTTGACATGGTGGACATCTTTTGCCAGAGTCTTCTTGACCGGTGCCGCCACCTTCCTGGGCGGCGTTACCGGCGCCTTGTCGTGCGTTTTGCTGCTGCTCGCCTGAGTGGGTCTCATCATCCTGGCGAGGAAGCCCTCGTCCACCGCTGACTCCCTCTTGGTGGGCGGATGGTCCCTAGCCGGCTGCTTTGGAGGGGGTCCCAAGCTGGGGCGTGGCCGGCCAATGACAGAAGACTGCCTCTTAAGGTTCTTCCCCGTGGCCGTTGATGCAACCGTAGAGATGCTCGCCCTGCTGGGAGAGCGGCCAACAGGTGGGTGTGCTGAGTGGAGGCTGCCGGATTGCCTAGACAGTGATCTTGGCACATTGACTTTCGACCCTGATGCAGCTGTGTGGGTTGTTAAGCCTGGAGGTAGCTTGACTGGTCGTGTAGGAGATTTGACCTTGGGCTTGACAAAGCCTGTATTTGCAGGGGAGATCGTCACAGGTGCCAGTTTCCTTGTAGAAGAGGGAGTTGAGGCTGTAGGCTTGGTGCTGGTGGCGGAGACAGAAGCCTTTGGAGTGGCAGTTTTTGTCGGTTCGGCAACCTTCTTCTCTGCGGTCTTGGTAGGAGGTTTGTGTTGTGTTATCGTCGGAGTTGTCGGCGTCTTCACGGTAGGAGACTTTGCCGGCTTAGATGCTGCCTTCGCAGCAGTCACAATTGGTGCAGCTTTGGTCTTGGACGCGGTCGACTTGGGTGCCTCCTTGGTGTGTGCTTTCGCCTTTGGTTTCCCGCTATCGGCACCATTCAGACTCTCGCCAAAGCCTCCGCTTTCATACAAAGCACCATTCTTAACTGCTGCCTTGTCTGTTGGGCCCCCGGCGAGCATCTTAGTCTTGGGCTCTTCATGATCCGTCTGCTTGTCTGGGTTTAGGGCTGGTGCCTCTACGTCAGCGCCACCCTTTTTCCTGACGGGGAAGCTCGATATTGATTCGGTTCTGGGGGATTCGGGAATGGTCTCTTTTGAGATGTTGGTGCGATTGGCATTGAAGGAGTTGGAATTGGTCAGGACATTGTTGGAGCCCGGTGATGTGCCTAGTCGCCCCATGTCGCGAGCAAACACATTGGTCTTTTCTTGTAGGGCTGGGGGGGTTTCTGTGTCTGTGCCGATGCTCAGTTTTCGATGTGACGTGTTCGAGTCTATGCTTGGATCCCGTTGCAGGCCTATTCTGCCGTCTTTCTCGACTGCTATGAAGCCAGCCCGAACTTTGGAGAGTGGTCGGGGAGACTCGCTCGGAGCTGTCAGAATAGAGTTCAATTAGTCTGTGTGTGGAACAGAGATGATTGGCCTTTCCATAAAGTACGTGGCTTTCGCATATCAAAAAGATATGTATACAGTAGTGCTCTCCAGGAAAGAACTAGGCAGGAAACTTACTCGGAGTAGTCAGCCCAGGCGATCTTCCTCTGTTGTCTGGCGGGCTGCTCTCCCCCTTTTGCTCAAACATGGCCCGAAGATTGCCGACTTTGCTCATGTTTGCGGCCCTTGATAGCAACAACGATGCGCTCTGGCAGGTATACGGTTTGATTGTTTGCTATTTCGAGGAAGGACAAGGCAGTCGAGGTTGGGCTTGTTAAAATCAATTCCGAAAGGTGTCCAAGTGAGTTGTCGAGGTTTCAGGCGGCGCACGACAGCTTTCTCCTTATTGGTGCTGCTTGGAGCTCTCCGCGTCAGGAAAGCTGCAGGTCGAGGCCCACTAGAGCAGCTACCGCAGGGCAGGGTCCTCCTCCTGTGGTCAGCGCGCGCGCGCGAGAATTGCCGAGGGTTGCGAAGTCTTCTGGGCAGGCCGGCGGGCACAACCAGACGCTGGTGGAGAGGAAGCCTCTGTGAACGGCGGATATGGTGCGTTTGCGATAAATATTTCTGGTGGTTGTCTCGGGAGCGAGCAGTAGGAGACGGGAGGTGGCCTTATTATGCTGCCCGGGGGGGTTCCCTTGGTAAATTGTGTTGCCTTAACTACCTAATACCTACCGTTAAGTGGCCCTTGAAATTGAAATTAGAAGTGGCATTTTGAGAGGGCGAGGGTGTAGGTGGGCCAGATTCCCTCCTGAGGTTAGACTACCTATTCAAGATCCAGTCATGCAATGCAGCCTTGACCTTGACGCAGGAGTCGTCGAGTTTGCAGCAGAAAGGCAGGCTCCGAGCGCATGGATTGGCTGGGCCAGAAAGGGTCAAGCAAGCAATGCGGATGAAGTCTGCATGTGGCTGTACGAATGCCGTCAATGGCCGGCTGGGAATAGATAATCATGTAGATACTGCCGTAGCATTTCCAGAACCTGGACACACCCTCTTGCAAGATTCGTCTTACACATGGCAGGAGTGTATAGCGAACAGGAGGAAAAGGGGTAGCCCCGTAGCGCGATGCGTGTCGCGACCATACTACTCCGTAGGGTAGCCAATAAGCTCTTCACCGCACTTCTCAGACGATCGAGAATGTATGATCGAGTCGAGTCAACGCCCAACAGACTTCTTGTCCTTTCTGCGTGACTCTATCGTATAGCCTCACCCGAACTCAAGACTCAGTCTGTCTCGCTGGCCTTGCGGGGTTGGCTTCGTTGGCGTCTCTCCCCACGCGATCAGCAATTCCAAGGATTTGCCTAGTTCCGAGCAGATATCAGAGGCATCCCTGCTAATATCGTGGGTTTTCTAGAACACTGAATACTCCTTGTCAAGAGACTGTTCAGGATCTTCCTCGTCATGCTCACAAGTGAAGGACCCGACTTAGTCGACACAACACTTGACAATATGACTATCGCCTTGATCAACAGCCATTCTGAGAAGGATACGGGGAAAAGGGGGCGCTCTGTTTCAAGACCTTCCATGTGCATGATGAGCTCCGGGGGGGTTTTGACAGCTCCCCTGTCCTGCCCCACTAACTCTGTGAGGTAAAGCCAACTGGGCCGCGGTTGGTTCCCGCTGGCCTCCAGGGCTGCTCTCCGATCCCGGGACCGGCGACTGCCCCACAGTGCAGCTTTGCTGGGGTAGATTTTGACAATTTCTAGCCGTTGCCGAATTGCATCACGCCGAAAAACTCCAAAAGTCCAATTGAACGGCCAGCTTGAAGAGAGACGGCCTGTTGTGTCTTGGTGACCTTCTCAGTGTCAATTTAGGCTGAACAGACTGACTTTATACCTCAAGCGGAGCATCGATGCTGAGCACAATGGCCGCCAGAAGTCTCAGGATAGGTGAGTCGCATGCTACATTGAGATGTGCTTGTTCTCTTAGCTAACGCAGCTCTCTCCAGGCCTCATCCCCGGTGATGGCATCGGCAAGGAGGTCATCCCCGCCGGACGACGCATCCTCGAGGCGCTCCCCTCCTCCCTCGGGCTCAAGTTCTCCTTCGTCGACCTCGAGGCCGGCTTCGAGACATTCGAGAAGCAAGGCGTCGCGCTGCCCGACAAGACGGTCGAGACGCTGAAGAAGGAGTGCGACGGCGCGCTGTTCGGCGCCGTCAGCTCGCCGACGCACACAGTCAAGGGCTACAGCTCGCCCATCGTGGCGCTGCGCAAGAAGCTCGACCTGTACGCCAACGTGCGGCCGGTCAAGGGCCGCGTGCTCAAGTTCAAGGCCGAGCCCATGGTCGACATGGTCATCGTGCGCGAGAACACCGAGGACCTGTACGTCAAGGAGGAGAAGCAGTACGACCAGAACGGCCGCGTCGGCGAGGCCATCAAGCGCATCTCCGAGCGCGCCTCCCACCGCATCGCCACCATGGCCGGCGAGATCGCCCTGCGCCGCCAGAAGATCCGCGAGTCGGGTGTTCCCAGCACCCACGCCGGCCCCGCCGTCACCATCACCCACAAGTCCAACGTCCTGCCCCAGACCGACGGCCTGTTCCGCGCCATTGCGCGCGAGGCCCTCGCCGACCCCAAGTTCAAGTCCATCAAGGTCGACGAGCAGATCATCGACTCGATGTTCTACAAGCTCTTCATCAATCCCGAGCCGTACGACGTCATCGTCGCCCCGAACCTGTACGGTGACCTCCTCTCCGACGACGCTGCCGGCCTGGTCGGCTCGCTCGGCCTCGTGCCCAGCGCCAATGTTGGTGACGGCTTCGCCATCGGTGAGCCGTGCCACGGTAGTGCACCGGATATCATGGGCCAGAACATCGCCAACCCCATTGCCACCCTCCGCAGTGTGGCCGTCATGCTGGAGTTTATGAACGAGGAGGAGGCTGCCGGCAAGATCTACGCTGCTGTCGATGCCAACCTGGAGGAGGGCAAGTACCTCACCCCTGACTTGGGCGGAAAGTCAACAACTACAGAGGTCGTGGAGGACATTCTCAAGAGGCTATAGATACCCGCCGGGGCTTGGGTTCGGACGTCTACGTGAATAGAAGATGCTCTTGGTGAATCTTTTGACAATGTGACCATATTTGTATATAAAAGCGGATACTACAAAAGTCATTTACATGTTTGATCTATCTTCCTCCGGATCTGCTTACTACTTGTCTTATCTGTGACAAAACCAGGTCCGCACAATGGACAGCTTAGAGAAGGCATATGTGTCTAGAGGGAGGATGTCTGTATATATTTAGTTCCGATATTCATCTATGTTCGTCAATTCTTAAGCGCCATTCTCCATGCAGCTTGCCTGATGGACAAACATTGCCATCGGCATCTATATATACAAACCAGTATTGTACACACAAGTAGACCTACAGTACAGATTATGCCCAAGGTTGTGGTACATCATCATCCGCACACTCGCCACTCCAGCATGGCACTTGCAATATGAGGTCGACCAGGCCTCTGCCGACACATCAAATCCAGAGCCAGCTCGCTTACTTTGTACGCTTGGCTTCCAACTCCTTCTCATACTTGGCAACGAGCTCCTTCCTATAGGTGATGTGATGAGCTTCTGTTATGAAAAATGAGTTCAAGGTCAAGACACTTACTGTAATTGCATAGGGGCGGGCGCATAGTGGCTAAATTCCATACCGAACTCGCCCTTGCCCTGGGTGGCCGCACGCAAGTGGGAGCTGAAGCCGAACATAGCATTCAGCGAGCAGTCCGCAATGAGGGTGAAGTCGTCAACGCCAATCTCCGTGTCAACAATGGTACCTCGCTTATTCATCAACATAAGGATGTTGCCTTGGAACTCGTTGGGTGCAGTAATAGTCGTCTTCATCAGGGGCTCCAACACTTGTCCGCCAGCATCGTTGAATGCCTTGCGGAAAGCCATCTGGGTAGCCAGGTTGAAAGCATAATCAGACGAATCAGTAACGTGAGTGGCACCATCATTGACAACCATGGAGGCACCGATAACCTTGTGGCCCAGAAGAGGGCCCTTCTCGCAAGCTTCCTGGAAACCTTTGCCACAGGCGGAAAGGTACTTATCGGGGATATTTCCACCGACAACCTGGGTCTCGAAGTGGTTGTTCTCCGCGTGCTCCGGGTTCGGCTCGATCCATCCAGCCACACGAGCGAAATCACCGGGACCGCCGCTCTGTCGCTTGAGCAAGAAGTCGAAGTCAGCGCGGCGAGTGATGGTCTCACGGTACGCGACTCTAGGCTGGCCTGTTTCGCAGTCGCACTTGTATTCGCGACGCAGACGCTCGATGTAGATTTCGAGATGCAATTCGCCCATGCCCGAGATAATGGTTTCTTCACTCTCCTCGTCGACGTGCAGACGGAAAGTGGGATCCTCACGCTGGAAGCGGTTCATCGCCTTCGAGAAAGAGTCCGCATCGCTGCTGCGCTTGGGCTTGATGGAAAGGGACATGACCGCATCGGGGACGTACATAGACGACATGGCGTAGGGCAGGTTTCCGTCGGTGAAAGTATCTCCAGATGCGCATTCAACACCGAAGACGGCGCAGATTTCTCCAGCACCGACCTCGGCGACATCCTCCATCTCGTTGGAGTGCATGCGCACAATACGGGGAATGCGGACCTTCTTGCCAGTGCGAGAGTTGAAGAGATAGCTACCCTTCTTCAGGGCACCCTGGTACACACGCATGTAGGTGAGCTGGCCATAGGGGTTCTCCTCAAGCTTGAAAGCGAGACCAACATAGGGCAGAGAGTTGTAGGGAATCAGCTGAACGGGCCTCTCGCCTTGTGAGCGGTCAAGTGCCATGTTAGGAGTCTCTGAAGGGTTCGGCAGGAAGTCACACACAGCATCGAGCATAGGCTGAATGCACTTATCGGCCAAAGCAGTACCCATAAGAACTGGCGAGAACTTCAGAGCGATGGTGGATCGACGAATCGCGGCCATGATCTGTTCAGGAGTGGGCACTTGTTCGTCGAGGAACAGCTCAGCCATCTCGTCATCAACATCAGCCAGCTTCTCAATGAGTTCCTGTCTCTTCTGCTGCGCTAGCTCCTTCAAATCCTCCGGGATCTCGTTGGAAACTTTGACGATGGTGCCTCTGGCGCCATCATTGCGAATGGACCTCATGTTGATCAAGTCGACAACACCCTCAAACTCCTTCTCCGAGCCAATTGGGATTTGTAGTGCCGCGGCGGGGATCTTGAGCTTAGAGTTGATCTGTTCGACAGCCTTCCACGGGTTTGCGCCCATACGATCCATCTTGTTTACGAAGCTGATTCTGGGGACGTTGTAACGCTTCATTTGCCTGTCGACCGTGATCGTCTGACTCTGGACACCGCTGACGGCGCACAGAATCATGACCGCACCATCCAGCACACGCAGAGCACGCTCTACCTCGATCGTGAAGTCGATATGTCCTGGTGTGTCGATCAGGTTGATGTGGTAGGTCTCGAGCTGTCCATTCTCCGACTTCTTCCAGTCGCAGAATGTCGCAGCTGACTGAATGGTAATACCACGCTCACGCTCCAGCTCCATGGAGTCCATCTTGGCGCCGACGGCGTCTCGGCCGCGAACTTCGTGGATTGCCCCGATTCGACCCGTGTAGAAAAGAACGCGCTCGGTGACGGTGGTTTTGCCGCTGTCGATGTGTGCCTGCTTCAATTAGTGCCCTGGCATGACATTCAGTCTTGCAATACCCAGATACGCACAGCAATACCAATGTTCCGTACTCGCGACAATCGCTTCGCCTCTTCGGGGCTCATCTTAGCCGCAACATCCTCAGCGGACAGATTTGCTCCCTCCTTGGCAGCTTTCAGACTGTCAAAGTAGCCATGTTAGTCAATCACATACAGGAGATGCAGTCTCTGCATTGCTCTGCTCACGCTTCCTGTGCAGCGCTCATAGACCGCAGCTTGGAGGTCTTGCTGAAGCTGCGTCTGCTCTGGCCCTGCGAAGGCGTCCATCGCGCCGGCGCAGAGGCAGCGGCAACTCTGCAAGCCAACGTGAAATGCCGTATGCCATTGCTCGCACTGAGTATGCGACCGTCAGTCAAGACGGCCACAGTCCTGTGTGCCCTCATATTTGGCGAAAAAGAAAGGGTGCGAATTTAAGGAGAGACTGGGGAAAAGAAGGGAATTACACGACGATTTTCGGGTGGACTGAGAATCTCAAGTAATTTTTTGGACCCCGGACCCGTACCCAAAAAAAAGGAACATAATTGGCTGTGGGATCTCCCGATGACCCACTGCCTCCTTATCTTATCGAGCTTGACGCGACAGACGGGAGATCGGAGGTACAGTACCTGCAGGTGCTGAAACCTAGATACATATCTAGACTTCCGAATGTGTTGCCGTTCAGAAAGCTTTTTCACAATACAAATTGATTCTGTCATATTTGAGTTGCCATATCTATGCAGCCATGAATACAAGAACAAGCAAAACGCCATGAAACATCAAGCCAACTCCAACAATGCATGTTCCTTGTTCAACAATTCCAGCTGATGTACTCAGCAACTGCCACCACTGTCGCCTTATCTCAAACTCTCTTCTTCTTCTTTTGAAATCTCTATCCCGAAGTGTTAGGCCACAAAGCCTTAAGGGGGTATCATTACCAGGAGGAAATGGGGTATGTATAGCGTAGCAAGAAACTAGAAGAAGGAGAAGAAGCCAGTGCCAACAGAGGTCAAAGCAAGTGCGGCCCCAAGCACAAGCATCTGTGACATGCCCAAAGGGGATGGCATCGATGCGGCACTATCCACACCAAAGCCAGATGCTGCAGCATAGGCCGGTTGTGTGAAGCTGGGGACATTGGTAGCTTGGGCCTGGTTCGGAGCCTCTGTAGCTGAAGGGATCTGAGCACCCTCGCTTGCAAAGGCAACGATGTTTGACTCTGTGGCGTTGAAGTCTGTGGCCGCAATGCCAATCTCATTGTTCTCGAGATCATAGACGACATAGGCAGATCGCAGGAAAGTGTCGCCGAGCAGGAAGGGATCACTGCTAAAGTTCTGAATGCCAAACTCGCAAGCCTCCTGGCCCTTATACCTACCAGCACTAAACGTTGGTGCCGGGCCACTAGTAAGATCCAACACAAGCTCGTCCATGCCGACTGTGATCTGAGGGCCATCGGGGCCAGCAAATCCGAAGGTGAAGGTACCCTTGCTGTTCTGCATGGAGCATGGGATGACTGCTAGTCCCAGATCACCATTGTAGATGGCTCCAGTCTCCTGCCAGACCTGTTCGGCGAGATCTGTTGGGAGATACGACAGTGTTGTTCCAGAGTCAAGAACCACAGGAATTGGGAACGTTGTAGACGTAAGAGTATCGTTTCCGGTAGAGCTCTTGGCCGTAAGAGAGGTGAGAGCCACAATGAAGGAAGTGAATTCTTCCGTCTGAGGATCCTTGTAAATCGAGATCCTAGTCAGGTCGCCTTCATACTTCTTGGTGTCAATGCCGCCAAAGAGGATGTTTCCGGTGCTAGAGTCTAGATCGTTGAGCCATAGGCTGTAGGCATTGGAGTTGATCAGGCCATCCTGCTTCATCACTACCGGCAAGTTGGGGTAGGCGGCCGACTCTGAGTTCTCTCCGAACACAATAGCCTCGTTGAGAGCATAACCGACACCCACGAGGCCGTAGGGGATGTCCGTGTTAATTCCAAGGCCCATGGTCACGTTGCTGATATTGGCACCGGCAATCTGGAATGCATCGGTGAAGTAGTCACCTTTGGAATGACTGCCGTCCACGTACGATATGCTAAATTCGCCCTCACCAACATTGTCGAAGGTTGAAGATGAGTCGGGATCAACTAGATGGTATGGTTAGCACATATGTCTTGGTTAGCTCTTTTAACGGGCAAGACCTACAAGATCCGAATGTGCAAGCATCCGAGCCCGAAGTGCCTTGACAGACGCTGGCTTGGCTGTAGGGAACCCAAATGTCGCTACTGCCAGTGTCCAACTGCAGGGTCAAGTCCTGTGCCGGAGTTCCCACGCTGCAAGTGGCAAAGTAACCTCCTCGAGCTTGCTCGTTCGTGATGACCTCCTCGAATGTTGAGCCGGCACGTTTGCCCAGCTTGGGCTTCAGTTGCTTCCGCTCGATACCCCATTGAACGACGCCATTCTGAGCTTTGATCGCGGTAGCGAACAGTGTACCCGCAGCAAGGGCGGAAGCGGTCCTCATGGCTGACTGAAGGTGCAATCCAATCTGTATTAGTCGGGCTGCCGACTTTGTTCGAGCTAGTCGACGGAACACAGCACAGAAATGCTGGAATTAAGTGATAGTGGTGCTAATGATAGACGATGATCTTCAGCATATAGGGATTGTTGTAATCGCAAGAGGCGTATTCAGATCGAACGGACGTGCGCAAGCGTTCGTGTTTCGAGATGGGAAGATGGGATCCGCCCTCCGAGACGCGGCGGATAGCAAAGGAGGTAGAAACTGAAGAACGCAGAAAGGAAGGGAGAGTTGATTGTCAGAAACAACGCAGATGGCAAAGGAACTGGACGGTTTTCGCAGAAAACCAAGAAAAGGCCAAGCGCTGAAGAGTCAACGAGAGCGAATGCCAAGAAGCACCAAGGACGACAGGGAGATTGAGGATGAATTATTTCTGGGCTGAGCTCGCCTCCCAGGCCTTGGTCCCTTGGCCCTAGTCAAACCCGCAGCGGGTAGTTAGCGGGCGAGTTGCCTGACCTGATTGGTACTCGGGCACGGCAGGGCACATATGCGCCGCAGGCTACAGCACGAGGACCCCTGACGTAACGCGGTGGCTTCCAGCTGGGCCGCTCCTTCAGTGGATTCCTTCCTCTGTTTCAATGCTGAGCCGCTTTTTGCATCTATTCTCAGCTCATTCCTGCGGCGTACCTCTGTATGCAAGTCGATGCTGTACGTACGATATCAAGACCAGGTAATTGCCCTCCTAGGAGACTCTCTCAGCTGAAAAATAATAAATTTCCTGAGTAACTACTGCATGTGGATGTCCAAGGTGGGGTGTGTAGACATGCCTCCTCACTGGAATTTTCACCTTACCAGGTAGGCTGCAAACCTCAGCCGCTCCGTTCAGAACGACTCTTGCTCCGAAGACTCTTCTCTACAATATCACTACTTGCCATCAAAAGCACAGACAGCCTTTCCCATTCAGAAGACCTCTAGGTCTTTGAGAACACTTATCGTGAATTAGTGTACGGCCGCGCTTAAAGTGTTATGTTGGCGGTTGTATAAAACTAGACTCTGTAGGACCGCTACATCAGTCGACAAAATCTGAAACGAACCTCGACAGTGTGCCTGTTTCATCGCATTGTGTTCTTGCTAAGACGCTGGCGCAGAAATTGCACCTGTTGTTGGTGAATATCAGCATGGTAATCGAGACGACTGGAACGCCTTCTTTAGACACGGGATCACCCAGCAGCCTTCCCGCAAGCGCTACTGACCGGCAATCCATGGCCTTAAAGTTCGGGGCGTCGATCAGCTGCAACTGCATGTGCTCTAGGAAGCTTTAGTAGTAAGGCGGCCGCTCGGCTAAGCCATTAGAGCTTTGAGTTTAGGCGATCCTTCACCTGGTGCAAAGCCACAGTTAAGCAGTGCACGTGGAATGCATGTGCTGTTCTCCTATAATACATTGACTGCCTTGAAGGTGGACCTTCTGGAAGTAAAGACGAACGCCATCGGGCTCAATTCCCCAAGATCTGACCGCACGGCACAAAATGAACAGCCGAGTCGAAAGGTGTAAAGATACCGATTCGCTCTATCTTTGAATTCAATAGAGGTTCTCCTCAACATAATTTCCCAACTTTTGCAATGCCTCCTCCAGTACTGCGGTGTCACTAACATAACCGATCCGGACGTAACCCTTGAAGTCTACGTCGTGGCCAAAACACCTTGAACCTGGCAGAAACATTGCCTTTGTCTTTTCCAAAACATCGAGACAGAAGTCAGGGTCATTGACAGGTTCTCCTCGTCTGAGAAATTGCACAAATGCCGTTGTGCCTGCTGTTGGCTTGACCCAGTGGCACACAGAGTTGTGCTTCTGCACAAAGGCATCCAGTAAGTCAAGATTTGTCCTTGCCAATTCAATGTTTCTCTTCATTAGTGATGGCTGCACAGCGTCTGATAAGGCGTACGCCGCAACTGTGTCATCTAGTTGCGAGACGCTAATCGTAGTGTAGTCTCTAGCCTCAGCAACGGCCTCGATGATACTCGGATCTCGAGAAGCTACCCAGCCCAGGCGAATTCCGGCAAGGGAGAAAGCTTTGGACATCGAGCCCGTGGAGATGGCCTTCTCGTAGCCAAAAGATAACACTGATGGAGGCATATCCTCTCCAGCGGGAAGACTGTGAAAAAGGGGCCGATAGACCTCGTCGCCGAGAACGTAAATGTCTCTTGCCTTAGCAAACTCTATGATCTTAGCAAGTACAGACTTTGGAGTGGTGGCCCCTGTGGGATTGTTTGGATTATTTATGACAATCATCTGAAAATTTATCAGTTCTAGTTTTGCTTACTATTGTCACCCTTCGCTCACCTTGGTGTTCTCCCTGACTAGCCCTTCCAGTTCTGCCACATCTGGTATATATCCATTCTCCTCTTTCAACTTCCATAGAGATACCTCGGCTCCTAAACTTTCGGGAACGCTGTACAGCTGCTGGTACGTAGGATACACGCAGATTACGTGGTCCCGAGGGCCAACAAGAGAGTAGAAGAGAAGGAAGTTCGCGGCAATGGCACCTGGAGTAACAATGACTTGGTGACTGGCGAGCGGCTCCGGCGAACCTTTGCAATAAAGGGCAGCAATACGTCCGCGAAGGTCATCAGAGCCCCTGATTGCTCCATATGTCAGCTTATTTGACAATAATGACAGTCCTTCGGCCGATTTATCTGTAGACAACTTCATCAAGTCTCCGATGGATACAGAGGCGGCACATGTCTCGGCGATGTTGAGAACCCCTGGCGTGGTCTCATACCGGTCCATCCATTGTTCGACTTCGAAAGGTTCAATTTTCACCATTTTGGCTGAAGCAAGTCGCAATATCAGAGGTACCCCGAACCGTCTTCAGACAGGCAGAAGGAAAATGGGCCCCGAACTCTTTAATACCTGCTACAGTCCTGCAAGGTCATCGATTGACATTGCATTTGACAGTGCATATTTCCCCTGAAATCGATAGGGCGTGTGCAGATGCTCTCGCGCAGCTGCGCGGCGCACTAGACTAGCCATGCGGGCCTTTCTTGAGTAAGACAGCTGCATCCTTTGGTGCTAGGTAGATCTCCATCTGAAGAGAAGAGACGTCACTCGCTTGCAGTGAACAATGGCGGGGTCAGTGTACCTACTATGGGTTGCCGTCCCACTAAGCCAGGCGGGCCAACCAACCACTGAGCTCAACAAGCAGTCCACCTGGCCGAAAACAGCTTCTTGTGACTGGTGATGCTGCTACTGTACAGGCTGGTAGGCGAGAAAGGTGAGGAATGATAAGGCCGTCTGTCATCTCATCTCATCTCATCTCATCGAATACATCATACATTGGATGTCTTCGCGGCTGCACCTCCTTAGCTTTAAGTATTGCTGTGCTGGTTAGTTAGTGGTATCTTCGCCCAATACGCTGTCCGCTCCTTCAGCTCGGGGTGTATCATTGCGATCCTCCGTGTATGTCTCCTCATCTTGCGCCTCCTCCTCTCGAGCCATCTGTGTTATCTTTTGACTCTGCCACTTCTCGATGACTTTCAAAAAATCAACATGCTGTTCATTTCAATTCTGCTATAGTTATGGTACTGTAGCTTCTATAATCTGATTATCCAAGGTGCACGTAGCTAACTGTGAAGATCGTCCGTCGCATGTCAAGAGAGCTGCGTGGTTGTTGAGGTAACTTATCGGGGCTTGGCTACTCCGAAGCTTCTGAGCTTGTGGGGGGTGAGGTGGCGCCTGCCGCCTGCAAACGCAACCAGCAGGCGCCGATCCGAGGCGCACAGCTACGACACGACGCTAAGACCCCCATCCATTCATCAGCCAGTTGAGCCAGCATCAGCCAACCGAGCTTCAGACCTTCAACAAACATCGCAAAAGCGTCCCCCTGCCTCATCATGGCTCCTCGGACGGCCTACGCCCTCCTCGCAGGGCTGCTGTCGTTGTCATGTGTTGCATCCGCTTCCAAGAACTATTCGTCCATCGAAATGATGCGCGCCGAGCTTGCGCTCATGGACGATCGGCCGAAGGACTGTCCGCCATGGTGCGCCGCCCCCATCCGTCTGCTGTCAGTGTCCCCGACAGCAAGCTAACATGAGGCCCTTTTCCAGCTTCAACTGTCTCCTACCTGCATTTGAATGCGGTCAATATGCCGAATGCAACGAGTTCAACGGGAAATGTACTTGTCCCAGCGGTTTCGGAGGAGATGACTGCCTATCGCCGTGTATGCATCTCATATGACCATGCCGCTATCCACAAGCTAACGAGCCATTTCAAGTGTGCGGTTCCCTCGCCCATGATAACCTAAACCGACCTGTGCGGTCAGAGAAGACATGCGACTGCGAAGATGGCTGGACCGGTATCAACTGCAATGTCTGTACAAGAGATGACGTCTGTGATGCATTGACTGCGTCAAAGGACGGTGGCATCTGCTACCAAAATGGCGAGGTCATCAAGAACAACTACCAGATGTGTGATGTCACAAACAAGAAGATCCGAGAGTTGCTTAAGACGCAGATACCCCAGGTGACATTTACCTGCCAGAAAGAGAAGGAAGAGAAGGATAGCAACTGCGACTTTCAATGTGCGCATCATCCCCCACCTGATGTCCCTATGTTTTCAATGCAGCTAACTTGCAGCAGTCTGGGTCGACCAGCGGGAGTCATTCTATTGCCATCTTACTGACTGCGTCTCAACCCTCGACTATAGCGATGCGTCAAGAAACAAGACCGAGTACCACTGCAAGACGGTCGAGTGCTCGTGCATACCCGATCGCATGCTTTGTGGCGAGAATGGCTCCGTGGATATCACCGACTTCCTTGCAGAGGAGATCAAGGGCCCTGGTGAATTCAACTGCGTCAAAGATAAATCAGGTGTCAGCAGTTGTGCGTTCGAAGAACCTGCCATGAACGATCTAATCAGTATGATGTTTGGTGACCGTAGCATCACGCTGACCTGCGGATCTGGCGAGTGCCTGCACTTCTCCGAAGTCCCTTACTATGAGAAACCTAAACCGAAGATCAATACGCCTCTCATTGCAGGAGTGATTGCTGGGTGCTCACTCTTCTTGGTTGGCGTGATTCTCCTTGTATGGTACCTGTCAAGACGCCAATACCGATATGGCGCTATTTCTCTGGACGACTCCGATGACGAGGCCCTCAAGCTCATGGCAGATCACAAGCCTGCATCTCTATATTTTGAGAATGTTACCTACGAGCTGAACGGCAAACATATTCTGCTTGGGATCCAGGGAGTCGCTCACCCTGGTGAAGTCACGGCGATCATGGGCGCTTCGGGTGCCGGAAAGACAACGTTCTTAGATATCCTCGCTAGAAAGAACAAGCGCGGCGAGGTCAATGGCGACTTCTTTGTAAACGGCGAGAAGGTAACGGATCACGACTTCAAGAGCGTTGTGGGCTTTGTTGATCAGGAGGACACCATGCTTCCAACCCTCACTGTTCACGAGACAATCCTGAACAGCGCTCTTCTTCGACTTCCTCGCGACATGAGCCGTTCGGCCAAGGAGCAGAGAGTTATCGAGGTTGAGAAACAGCTTGGTATTCATCACATCCGAGACTCACTTATAGGTTCTGAAGAAGGGAAGGGTCGCGGCATATCGGGCGGAGAAAAGCGTCGTGTCGGTATTGCTTGCGAATTGGTTACAAGCCCTTCGATCCTGTTCCTGGACGAACCCACGAGTGGTCTGGATGCCTACAACGCCTACAATGTCATTGAGTGTTTGGTTACTCTCGCAAAAGACTACAAGCGGACTGTCATCTTCACCATTCACCAGCCCCGATCTAACATTGTCGCTCTCTTCGATCGGTTGATCCTCCTGGCCCAAGGCAAGACCGTCTTTTCTGGACCTTTCCCACAATGCCAGGAATACTTCGATCACATCGGCTATCCTTGCCCCCCAGGCTTCAACATCGCTGATTACCTCGTTGATCTTACCATGCATGCTGGTGTGAGCACCCCCTTTGATGATGGAGCCCTCGCCCTCGACTCTGCCAGTGTTGGCCCTAGCAGCACCAGGGCGGTCAAGTCGATTGCAAGCGTCTCAGGCAGCATTGCAGAGGATAGTGGAGTCGAGGCATCATCTTCGAGGCCCAGACCAAAGCGGAAGGATTCTGTCAAGGCACGCCAAGAGCGCGAGCTTTTCACTCGACGCAAGAGCAACGTCATGGCAGGATCATCCTCTGATGGCGAAGGCGACTACAAACTTCAGAAGGAAATTCCAGGTGTTGTCCCACTTCGAATTATTGAAGACCATGATGATCCACCTCCGGTAGCAACTGGAGGCACGGATCTCGATATTCTAGTCAAGGCTTATGCAGAATCTGATATCGCCAGAACAACACACGAAGAGGTCGAGCAAGCTATAAGCAACGCTCAGAACGCAAATGGGCAGAACGGCAATCGTTACGATCCCGAGGGACCTAATATCAATATTAGTGGCGTGGGTAAGGGATATGCCCGAATTGGATACCTCCGCCAGTTCGTCATTCTATCCGAAAGGACGTGGAAGAATTTGTACCGCAATCCTTTACTGATGTTGACTCACTACGCGATCGCCATCGTTCTTGCGGTTCTGTCAGGGTACCTTTTCTACGGCGTGACCAACGACATTCCGGGCTTCCAGAACAGACTCGGTCTCTTTTTCTTTGTTTTGGCCTTGTTTGGTTTCAGTACCCTGACCAGCTTGAACGTCTTCGCTTCAGAGAGACTCTTGTTTGTGCGGGAACGAGCCAACGGTTACTATTCCCCGATCACCTATTTTGCCGCAAAGGTCTTGTTCGATATCTTGCCTTTGCGAATCATACCTCCCATTCTGATGGGTATAATCATCTATCCTATGACTGGTCTCATCGCCGATTCATCTCACTTCTTCACCTTCATCCTGGTGCTGGTTCTATTCAACCTAGCTGCGGCGGCGATCTGTCTGTTCATCGGCATCGTTTGCAAGGATGGAAGTGTCGCCAACTTGATCGGCAGTCTCGTCATGCTCTTCAGTCTCCTCTTTGCCGGTCTCCTACTTAACCACGACAAGATTCCCGCCGCAGCTATTTGGCTGCAGTGGCTGTCAATCTTCCACTACGCCTTTGAGTCTCTTATTGTCAATGAGGTCAAAGAGCTGACTCTCATTGACAAGCAATATGGTCTGGATATCACTGTTCCCGGTGCTGCTATCCTTAGCTCTTTTGGTTTCAGCAACCAGGCAATGTGGTCTGATATCCTCAGTCTGGGTGTCTTCGGAGTTGTCTTCATCATACTGGCCTACGCTGCCATGCATATCATGTTGGTTGAGAAACGATAGGGGGCATATCTTTCGAGAATGAGGAGGACTTAATGGAGATCGCTTTGTAGGAATATTGAGTTGGTACTTCATGCATATACTTCCGGCATGCATCATCAATGCGCGCTGGAAGAGGGAGCTTACACGCTCCATAGTCTTGAATCTTCTTAACACATAAATAGCACGGTCTGTAACCAGGCACGCTGTCGGGATTGCATTGGGCTCATGGCGTCTTGGTACTTCTGCACATATTCTATCGCTTTAGACAGATGATTATTCCATAGTCTATATACATGCATGTGATCTATGCTTTTGTGCGATTGCTGAACGCGGGCGCATGATATCGTTACAGGTATGAGCAAGGTGCCAAACCCTTGAACGCCATGATATTGTACAGTACAGGCCTGAGATCTTCTAATTCTCATTCTTGATCCTCTTCATCCCTACTCTTATCCATTACAAGGCTCACTCCATCTTTCCGCCGGTCAACTCCTCTGTCACGGTCTTTTGTCTCTTTGCTGTTCGGCTCAAGTCGGTAGTGTTGAAGTCCATCGCCCGCTGCTGGGTGCGATTCAGCTCATCCAGCATGTTGCGCACCTGGATCGGTGGACCATAGGCATCCCAGGCATTCTCGGATCCGAAGAAGCCGCGCTGGCTGCCCTGGCGCTCCCAGTACTTCTCATCGAAGAGCTCGTTGATCTTGGCTTCCAGCTCCGCCTCCGTGACGATGAAGTCCCCCGCAGCAATGTACAGCTGCTGCAGTGCGTCCTTCCTCGCCTCCGACTTGGCCGCAAGCAATGCCGCTGTGCGCGCCGCCGACTCGGCGATCTTGGCCGGCCGCTCCGGATCGGGAGCCACTGCCGTGTTCTGCGACGTGTGCAGCCGCACGGATGACCGCGTCAGCACGTCGTCCTGGCCCTCGGGCGCCAGCGCCGCGGCGCGGTTGCGCTCGAAGTTGGCCTGCGCCTTGGCGCCCGCGAGGCGCTCGCGCCGCTGCTTGCGCTTCCACAAGCCCTGCAGACCCGCGGCGAGCGACTGCCGGCGAGACTCGGCCATGCTGCGCTTCCAGGCGTCGACGTCGGACCTGGGCGCTTGGCCGGCGGCCTCGGCGGCAGATCGAGGTGCCGTTCGCTCGACGTAGCCGGCCGCGACCTTGCCTGCGCCGCCGGCACGCTTGTGGAAGATGTCGCGGGCGACGGGGAGAGTGCCCTTCTGCCAGGGCTTCTTGACCTCGGCGGACTGGGGAGGTGTCGGGACCTTGATGAACTTGGGGGATTCGGGAGGGATGTGTGTGTTTAGGCGGACCGAGGAGGTCGAGAAGGCTCGGGGGACGGAGCCATTGAGAGCTGTCGATGGTTGTATTGCTGATGGTATCGAGCGTATCGACACTTGAGGTAATGAGGGAGGCATCTTGCCGGTGATGCTGCTGCGGAGAGCAACACTCGTAGTCGGCAATCGATGCTCAGGAGGTGCTCATCTGAAGGCAGGTCAATGGACTGATGGGTTGAGCAGTGAATTTCTTCCCAGTCGGATTTACTGGATTGCCGGCTGTGCCAATAGCAGTGGTGCGATAAAGAAAGTGGGTTATCACCGATAAGAAAAGTCCCTACTGTGGGAATTTTTTTAGGCGAGCTCTGGCGGGACCATCACTTTTCTTTTACCAACCTCTCGCACTTTTTGCACTCCGCAATTCTTTCATAGGAGCGCACAGGTTGCCTCTTTTTCTTTATCCTCCTTGAGAGTGTTCTCCCATTGCTTCTCTCTTACAATGGGAAGTTTCAAAAAGGAAAAGGCCCGCCGGACCCGCGAGGGCAAGACCGGTGAGGGCATCAAGGTCAAGGGCGAGAACTTCTACCGCACCGCCAAGCGGGTAAAGCAGCTCAACATCTTGAAGGAGGGCAAGGCACAGAGGAACGCCGATGGCAAAATTGTCAAGGCTGCATCCTATCAGTCTCGCGATGTCCCGAATGCGAGAATCGAGCCAAATCGAAAATGGTTCTCCAACTCCCGTGTCATTTCGCAAGAGTCTCTGACTGCTTTCCGAGAAGCAATGGCGGAGAGACAGAACGACCCGTATTCAGTCCTTCTCAAGAGCAACAAGCTACCGATGTCTCTCGTTCGCGATGGCCAAGACACAGAAAATGGCGTCAAGAAGCACCATGCTAAAATGACTGTCGAGAGCTCGCCGTTCTCCGAGGTTTTTGGGCCGAAGATGCAGAGGAAAAGAGTCAAGCTGAGCGTCGCAAGCATATCGGAGCTCGCAGATGATACTGAGAAGAGTCTCGATAAATATCATGACCGACTTGAGGAGATAAAACTCTTGAGTGGACAGTCTGGTGGCGATGCTGGTCAACCTGGAGCCTCTGCCGAGGATGATGCAAACGTTACCACTGCTACGGAAGCCGTTTTTAGCAAAGGACAGTCCAAGAGGATATGGAACGAACTCTACAAGGTCATCGATTCTTCAGACGTCATCCTACACCTTCTCGATGCTCGGGATCCTCTGGGAACACGGTGTCGCAGTGTGGAGCAGTATCTAAAAAAGGAGGCTCCCCACAAGCACCTAGTCTTTGTGTATGTGACCTCCTCCTCACTGTCTGACACTATGTATCTAACTTGCCGCAGACTCAACAAGTGTGATCTTGTTCCCACAAAGGTTGCTGTAAGTGATATCTTTGCTTCAAACTTTCTCTCGTCTTCGTGCCATGCCTTTCATGCCCGGTATTTTTGTCAGGACATTTTCCACAACCATTCGCACTATGGGACTTGTCTGTTACGGACCGGGCAGAGTGACTGCAGTTTCTCGAATTTCTTGGCTTATGCTGGGGCTAGACGGAATCCGTTTTGGAGACTGTCGTGAGATCTGGGGTTGTTTTCATTTTGAGTTGAAGTCCACCCACTCTTCACGGGTACTTTTTCATGGTGGATTTCTTAGTATGAATTCATACAAAACTTCAGCAGTTGAAGTGATTCTTGTTATTCTCATCAAATTTGAAAAGAGAAATTTTGTCGTCAGCAACTAACATGACGGCAGGCACAATGGGTGAGAGTTCTCCAAAAGGAATATCCTACTGCGGCTTTCCGCGCCAGCATGACGAACCCGTTTGGAAAGGGAAGCTTGATCAACCTTCTTCGGCAGTTCTCAAAGCTGCACTCCGACCGCAAGCAAGTATCAGTGGGCCTTATCGGTTATCCGAATACTGGCAAGTCCAGTGTCATCAATACCTTACGGGGCAAGAAAGTTGCTACCGTTGCCCCTATTCCTGGCGAGACGAAAGTCTGGCGTAAGTAACAGGAGTATCACAGTTTTCACAACATACATGCTGATCCAATTTCTAGAGTACGTCACTCTCATGAAGAGGATATACCTGATCGACTGCCCTGGTATTGTCCCACAGCAGCATCATGACTCGCCTCAAGAACTACTCCTACGAGGTGTCGTGAGAGTCGAGAAAGTAGACAACCCCGAGCAGTACATTCCAGCGGTGTTGGCAAAGGTCAAACCGAAGCACATGGAAAGGACTTACGAATTATCTGGGTGGAAGGACCACATACACTTCCTCGAGCTGCTAGCAAGGAAATCAGGTCGCTTGCTCAAGGGTGGTGAGCCGGATCTCGACTCGATCGCAAAGATGGTCTTGACAGACTTCATGCGCGGTCGAATCCCCTGGTTCACTGCTCCTCCGACGGTTGAGGGTGACGATGGAGAAGTTACCGAGGGTCGCGAGGGTCGCTTAGGGGAGATGCCCAAGAAGAGGAAACGTGATGACGTAGAAGTTGCACCAGAGTCAACACCAGTCAAGCCTTCACCCAGCAAAGACATTGAAGAGGATGAAGGTGACTTCGAGGGCTTTGGTAGCGAAAGCGAACCGGAAATTGAGTCGGATTCCGAATCAGCAAGTGGGGATAGTGAGGATGTCATTCCTCTGGATGTTTCAAGCGATGAGGAGGATGACGCAGAGAGCGACGATGCAGAGGACGACAACGATGAAGATGAGGGAGAATCCTCAGGAGTGGACTATCCAGACGAAGAAAGTGAGGAAGAGGCGAGGCCAGTGGTAGATGAGCCGCAACTCTCAAATCGCAAGCGTCGTAAACAGTGATAGCTTTTAACGAAACTAAGAAACTTGATACCCATCATACACCATTTAATTCCTGTGTTCATGCCTTTTCGAGTGACCATAGATAGACTAAGCACGGACTATTGCCATCAGAGGATGTCAAATGTGTGGCTAAGCATTCCTACAGGTTCTCGCATCCAGAATTTGTGATGCATCTCGGCATTGCTTGCGGGTGTTCGGAGAATTATTCTCTATCAATAACGAATCGATGGCCTTATCACCGCATGTATGCGGTTGCAAGTGGAATATGTCCACCGAGTGATTCAAGGTTTTCGCGGCTACTCGTTTTACAACTTCGGTCATTGAGACACATTGCTGCTAGAGCTTGTCGTTGTTAAGACAATTTTATTAAAGATATCGAGTTTGAGAATGAGCTCAACCATCCCTAAGCCCGTTAATGAGGCGCCAAGCTGCGACCAACAAAACCCTCCCCCAGATTGAAGCGTCAGCCACGAGGGAAGGTAGCGAGATGCGATACTATAATTGGAATGCCATTCGAACCCCTTCGATGCAATGAGAACATTTGATCCACGCCCCCAATGTACAGGCCTCAGCATCATGTCAGAGGCAGTATAGTCTCAAGAGTATTATCAAAGGAGAACGTGGTCCTTGGCCACGGCCGCAAGGTAGAACAATCTTTAGAAGCTAGGTATAACAGGACAATTGTTGCACATTACACGAATGAACCGTGCTAACGCCAATGTCTCCGTTCGTGGTCTGCACATCCCAGTAATAGTTATAGTTAAAGCAAGGCAAGTAATACGACTAACTGAGAGATTAAATCGTCTGTCAAAAGATAGACAAGAGTTCTACCGTGACTACACTGTGACATGATTTAGATAATGAGTCGAAAGTTTTCTATCCCTCTGCACTTCAGCACCGAACTGATGAACTGTCATGTCTAGCAACTGGGAGTCTTGAGGTAGGAGGTGTGGCATTCGTCTAGACCATAGTCCATCATGCCTAAAAGCAGAGAGGCCTATCACTTTTTCTCGGGTCCCAAGATCGGAGTCCTGTATCTACAAAAGGCCCTTGATACTGAATAATTGTTGAGGCTGATTCTCCACGCTAATGACTCGTCATTCAGAGGAAGTGAGCACCTCCCCCGCAGTCGTATTTGGAGCCATCATTGTGGGGGAGAATTAGCCCCGGCTAGGAAGAAGATTACCGAGGTCATTTGCCCAATCGACAGTCATTGCCGGTAAAGCAAATCCGGAGTCTAATGAACTGCCCGTACCCAATGAGCTGCCCCAATTGAGGCCTCTCCAAGTGGGGGGCGTATTCAGTATCTCTGAGCGGCTTTCAGATTAGAGAGCCGAGAGCGGCCTGACGAGCGAATGCTCTGAAACTGCATTGGTGTTTACATTATTAGAATAAGTTATGATTAAAACGGTGTGAAGTCTATTATGCATGAGTGTGTTCTTCCTCTCTCGGTCATTGAAGTCCGGTGCAACTCCTAAACTAGGAAGACTCGCTTAACTAAGTTGGAAAAGTGAAGAATGTAAGGCCACCAGCGAGTCTCTGCAGCATTAGTACTTCAAATTTTGGAGATCTAGGTCCGGAGCAACGGGTCAAGTGAGGAGGCAACGGTGTCTACTGACCTCTGGAATCAACCTATGGTGGAACTACTGATGAAGCGTCCCAAGGGGAACTGTCGAATCATTGCCCAGGATTCTTTGGAATAGCTTCAAACTTGCTGCCCCTCCACAACTAGTCTCAGTTCCAGCACGGCCCCAGACGCATGGCTTGGCCATAGTGGCGCTTTCCCCATACCCCACAGTCCCTTCTTTCTCCAACTTTTCTTCTCCCAGTGCCCCTCCATCTTCCGGAATTTTGTAATTCTGTGAAACCTCAAGCTGGAAAGTTCTGTGGAGGGAAGATACAACAAAGATGTCTTCCGCACAAGTAGACTCCGGCGAGCAGAAGCCCAAGGCTGCAAACAAGGTCAGAAAGCGAGCTCCAAAGGCTTGCTTGTCTTGCAGGTCTCGGAAGGTTCGGTGTGATGTCTCGCAAAGAGGCCGACCGTGTATGAACTGCTACTTGGACAGCGAAACATGCGTTGTCACCGGTCGAGCTTCGAGATTGTAAGTTGACTACGTACAAATCCATCCTACACTCCTGACTTATATCTTGTCATAGCCGGAGAAACCGCGAGAACGAGAATGTCCAAGTATCGCATCCGCCATACGCTGGAGAGGCCTGTGAACACAGTCACTCGGCAGAAGCCGTAGTCCGATCACGGACAAACGGTGATCCAGTTCCTCACCCTGGAACTGAGCGCCCCGTCTCTATCACAAGCACTCCAGATGCAGGAAATGAAAGAAGCGAACCCGCTCTCGCTCCTCGAGTTCCTGATGTTGCCGATACAACGAATGGTGCTTCGAAAAGTCAGAGCCGACCGGCAGCACTGCCCCATGCCTCGAATCAGCGTACTAGTACCAGCACTCCAACTCAGCCTCAAGTCCCTAATGGGCTTCAATGGCCTGGAGAACAGAACATGGGCTTTACCTCTGATATCACATTCTCTTATTATCCGTGGCTAGCTATCAGCAATCTTGCAAACATTCTCCCTCAAGATGTCAACTATCTTGACATGCAAGGATGTCTACGAGTTCCCACAAGAGCCGTTCTGGATGAGTTTGTCCAGCAATACTTCCTTCATGTACATCCTCTGTTGCCTCTCTTCAATGAGGGTGACTTCTGGGAAATGTACTGTCACCAAGGCTTTGGCGCTGCTCCACCGGAGAAGATGTCTCTCCTAGTCTTCCAAGCCATGCTCTTTGCCACTTGCAATGTACGTTAGCAAGGCCAGATTGTAAATAACCTGCTGACCTTGAGTAGTTCCTTTCCCGAGACAGCATCAAGGCTCTAGGCTTTCCAAGCATTCGAGCTACCCGAGCGGCTTTCTATCGACGAGCGAAGGTAAAGGTTTCTAATAGTGCAAAGTAAAACACTTACTAACATTGATAGCTGCTTTACGACTTTGAAAGCGAGTCCTCGTCGATTGCCATCGCCCAAGCCGCCCTCCTCCTCTCTTTCTGGTCTCCCGCCACGAATAAGGGTAGCAAAAATCCAAACAGTGGCTGGCTGAGCACAGCTATCCAACAAGCCAAGAGCGCAGAAGCCCATCGTTATTACTCCATACTTACCGGCAACGGCCCCCATCACCCGCGTCTGGTCAAGCGCCAAAACATTCTCAAGAGACTCTGGTGGTGTTGTATAATCAGAGACAGAGTCATTGGTTTGTGTGTTCGGCGCAGCATCCAAATCACACGAGCACACTTTGATTTCGATGCGCATCCATCACTGGGCTACAGTGACCTTGGAGATGAAATTGAGAGGAGCAAGGTGTACAATCCTGGTACAAAAAGATGTTTGATCGAGATATTGGCCCAGATTGTCGAACTGTGTGTCGTTCTCACCGATATACTTATGCTAGTTTTCCCGCTAGACGATCTCCCTGGCTGGGGGCGTCAATTGGCCGAGGAAGATGCGGGTAAGGTGAAGCAATGCAAGACGGACTTGAGAAGGTGGTATAAAGGGGCTACCTTACGATTTCCCATGTTTGGCGGCGGCGGCGTAGCAAGGATGAGTACAGGTGCAAGCGGCAATGGGAAGGAGTATCAACATGACTCGGTAATATTGTACACAAATATGATGTACATGTATTACCAGTAAGTGTGATTACGCTTAGCAGGGTACCGGGTTGCTGACCACTTCTACAGTTCATCGAGAGTGGCTCTATGCCACCACGAGATTCTCCATCTAGCCGTCGCGTCTGCCGCACCTGGTCTCGATGGCAACGCAAGTCCTGACATGTCGACAATCTACGAGAATCGGTACGAGATTCAGGATGCTTCTTCCGGGGTAACAGAGTGTCTCAAAGAGCTTATCCAGCTTCGTCTGGCTCGTTGGCTTCCTATAAGCGCGGTCGCTTGTACGGCACTTCCGCTGGTTTTGCACATACTGGACGTGAAACTCTCCTCCCCGAATGGGCCTGGAAATTCGTTCGATCCTAATGCACAGTCAGCCCTCAAGCAGCACCGCCTCAATATTCTGATCGAGGCCATGAAGACATATCAACCACAATATGACGGCGTCGATTGGGTCAGCGAGACGATAAGACACATCATCAACCTAGCGCAACTTGACGACGGCAACAACAGCCGTAAGGGCGGCAATAACAACGGAGGAGGCATCAGCGACTGGACAGACATCCTGTCATCACATCCGTCCGCCTATCTCCGCCTAGCGCTGACGATGGACCTCAGCCTAAGCAAGAACAGGCTTCCTGAGGAAGGTGATTTCCCTGCCAGTCTGCGAGGACTCTTTACAGGCGGCTTCAGCCCAATAAAGATCTTACTAGGTCATCACGGCGGGAAAGTCCCGCAAAATGCGCCCGCGGCCGCCCAGACTATGGCTGGTCTGACATCGCAGTCTGGCCCATCTATGCAGACATTGTCGGACTGGGCAGCAGTTGATCAAGCGATGGCCTTTGGATTAGAGACAGGCACGCTGCAAACTCTACCTTCTGACGAGGAAACATCGCCGGCATCTACGGGCCACGGCACGGAGGGGACATCGCCTGACGGGCCAGTGGTGGGGGAAGCCAACATCGGTGAGATGGCCGACCAGGCTTTCGCCGAGGCCATGGACATTCTGGAGGGCAATGTCATGGACGCGTTTGGGTTCCGCGACGAGGACACTGGATCTCCCAGTGATATTGACGGCGTCAGCTTTGATGATGGCGGCGAGGGCCCTGGTGAGTGGGTTGAGAAAGCGTGGCATGAGGAGGACGGTGCAGAATATCGAGCTGATCAGGAGACAGCCAAAGCGTTGTTAGAGGCAATGGACACAGATCCGGTCGGTTGTGCGGCGTGAGATCTGCAGCGGGCTACTATATACGGGACAACAGAGTCTAGGCTGGTGATCTGATATGATGATAATAATGATGTATTCTGCGTTATTGACAAGTATACTGCTGTGGAGCCTGAGATAATAGATTTATGTAATTGTGTACTCGGACCGATGCGCTAAAAAGAAAACCATGACGCTCCATCTATCGGAATCCTATAGATATAAAGGATCGTAACTCATTTCTACTCCTCTAATCAGTTTCGTCTATGTCTAAGTAAATTGGCGAGGCTGTCGTTAGACTGTATCTTCGGAAGCGTTGTCTCCTGCAAGTAGAGGCTCCTCTTCGACATCTGCCTTTCGAGGCAGTCGAACGAAGAAGAGCGTGATCATGCCCAGAGCACAGAGGACTGCCACGCCGAAGTACGGCAAGCCAAGCCACGGCATTCCCTCCTGTCCCTTATTCCGTCTCATTCCTACTGCAAATAGTTCTGCGAGAAAAGGCTGCGCGAATACCAAGCCCACCTCTTCAGAAATTCCGAGCAAGCTGAAGAGTCTTGTATGAAGTCTGTCCTCAACATAAACTGACGCGATGGCTCGCGTCAAACTGTTGAAAGCCGAACCTAGCGAGAGCACAAGCAGCCCGATAACGAAGGCAGTGAGCGTAGGGGCCGCGCCCATCAACACAAATGCAAAGAGGAGAAAGAAGTAAGAGCCACGAGCCAGGATGAGATCGCGAAACCGGTGATCGTGCTTTTGTTTGTGATGGTCAATGCCCTCAACTGGCGTTGTTGTGATGGTCGGGCTGGAAGATGAGGAAGTTGATCGCTCAAGTGCTTCTGTCTGAATTGCGGCAGGATCAGCCGTAAAGAACGGTGACCTTAGGAGCCAAGTCGAGAGTGTTGGGACGACTACAACAGCCACTACAATATGGGCTACGCCGTACAGAGACCCAAGGTAGCCGGTTTGTGCTATGGCAATATCGTACCGCTTTGACGCAAATTGATTGAGAAACTGGCCAGTTGATTGTGTGATGGGAAAGTTGATGATTTGCAGCAAGACAAGGATAACCATGGAGGCTGACTTCATAAGTGAAGTTGATTCCCTGAGGTGAGCAACAAGATTCCCCAGCTGTGTCTTGAATGCGGGCCAGTACGAGTTGTTACCATGCAAGCCATATTCTGATAACATATCGTGATGATGATGTTTAGAGTGAGATGATTTCTGCAGTGTCTCTGGAACGAGGAAAGCAAAAAAGCAGAGACAACATGTAAACAGCGTAAATGAGGCGAATATCACCGGCCACAAACCAGTGTGCTGCATCAGGAGGCCAGCCAGAGCGGGACTGATCAAGGTCCCGAACATACCGGAAACATGAGCATAAAGGAATACCGTACTCCTTAAAATAAGGCAAATTAGCTTCGATTGTGCGACCGATATTGTGGATGGCAATGATCGCTAACCTTGAAGACTCGGGTACAGTATCTGCGCAAATGCTAAGAATAATCGCAATTATTGTAGGATTAGCACCTCCAAAGATGGTTGCGATAGGAGTTAGAGCGACGAATTTTACAGGTACAACATCTGAAAAATGGCAAATCAAAGCAAACAACACCATGTCACAGATTAAGCCCAAGATTGCAAACAGCATGACTGGTCGACGCCCGATTCTGAAGAAAGTCAGCGCACGCGCTCTCGTTATCGCTTCTTCCGTCACTTGTTCACTCGATGACATACCGGTCAGCAGCCATAGCCCATGGGAAAGCAACAGAGAGGGCTGCAATCAAATCGTTAGTTATTTCTGGTGCTTAAAGAGTATGTGATCAGAAGTGTTTCAAGATTACCAACAATCGCCCTAATAGCGAAGTACAATCCAAAGATGTAGGCCATCTGCTCCTGGACACTATCCACTTTGCAAAGATGCTCGTCAATTGGTCCTTCAGAAAGTTTCTGGCCGTGCTCATTGTAGTATTGGCGACACAAAACAGCTTCGACCAGGCGTGTTGCGCCGAGATGGAAGAACCCGATTCCAGCAGTGCCTATGGTGCTGCCACAAAGCATCGCGATGATTGTCCGGGCTCTGCGATCCTTGAGATTTAAGATGCGAAACCCGCCATCGTGGCCTGCATCCTCTGCGCTTTGGTTACCCAGCAGAGGAGTATTTTCCATCGTTGTAAACGCGATCGGATCTTTGTAGGTTTATTCTTCTCGTCATGCGCTTCCAACCACCATGTTCGTTTGATCCAATCCAGGTATTAGGACGCGTGTGCAGAATTTCGAAGTTATCGAAGTCAAGTTAATAGCGCAGGCGGCACGACTGTCGCGAGGGGCGCTCTTGTTCTTGAATCATATCTTCCAGCGCGGTAACATCCATTTTGAGGTGATTGTGGTAAGCATCCAATTCCTTCGCCAATCCCACCAAACCAACGTGGCATGAAGACCCGACCTTGTGCTGATGTGAGATTAAACGATGTCAGAAGCTGATGGGAATTGAAGAAGCCTAATTTGGCTAGATAGAGCTTGTAGGCTAACCGTACCGACAGTACTGCATGTTCATAATTATTCTGAAGTAGAAATCTCGGGCCAAACAAAGTATGTCGCAATCTGGGCAATCCAGCATGACGAGATCTCGGTTCCAGACCTCTAGGCGTGTAGTGTGAGTAGTGCGATCCGACCTTCGAGAGCATCTCGAATTGCTTGAGTCTGTTGGGAGACTATGGCAGGATGCGACCATATTACCCAGCCCGGATCGAGGCTCCATCTTGAATCCCAGTGCCATCGTCTCGGCTACGGCGAAAGTACCATGAAAGTCAGGGCGTTTCTACGCCACACTTCGCCTTAATCAGGCCATAATAGAAATCTGAGATCAAGATTGACTTTGGCTGAGACGCATGGCAATTGATAAACAACGGCAGCGGCAACGGTACGGAGCTTGAAAGGGAAATTGTATGGGAGATCCGGCCCGGGATGGAATCTTGTTACGGCGCGGGGCTTACTAGCGAAGATCGGCGGCCGAAGTGAGGCAAATAAGGCTGTGATGTCGACGTGCATACAAGACACTGCCTTGGAACTTGAGCCTCGAATAGAAACTCCTCCCCATAATTCCCAGTAAGCTCAATCTTGAAACAAAACAAAAGCTGTATCATGAGGCGCGAAACTTGGAAAATTGAGGCTCTAGATCCGGAGATTGACAGGCAGCGCCTCACTATCAAGCTTGTCAGCCCGTCCTTGAGAGACTCTGAACGACAACCCTGCATCGTCATGGCAATAGCCACCACATCGCTTAAACAACCCAGTAGCAGCTTGACATAAGCTACACAAAGAGGCGTTCAACGATAGACGCCGCATTGACGGTCTGTCATGTGAAGGAGACATTGCTCAAACTGCCCACTCGCTTGCGATAGCACGCCTGATCTTCGTCTGTGGAGAAGCTTGAGTGGTGATTGCTGTCTGTGCAATGCTCGCGCCTTACATTTTCTGACACTAGCACTCTATACACCTGGGCAGCTGGGATAGTCGAGGTGACAACCATGTACCCCTGAAGCGAGCTCTCCGGGCTCTTTCTCGAAGCTCCTTTACTTACTTCTCTTAGGTCATCGACGTACATGGTCTAGAAGACTCTAGACGACGGGATAACGTAATGGATGCGCGTCGGGCGATACGTCGGTCATCCTAGAGGCTCCAGCTGCACGTCACCCGATGCAGCGCAGAGCTGCAGGATTGGCGAGACCTTTCGACAGGCATGCCCCAAGCCTGTGTCTTCTTGAGTGACACCGCCTCAGAAGATCTGAGAAAACATCGGCGCAGAGATATTAGGGGTCCCGGAACTTGACAAGGTTGACATTGAAGACAAGGGACATCCAGGACTATCTTGAGCCCTGAACAAATCGGAACTCTTCATAATGTCCAGGCTATGCGGCCCGCATAGCATGCCGTCTTCCCCGACTATGGCCCTTCCAAACTAGACGTGTGCTGGAGTCACACCGCCTTAATGTGGCCGGGAATCTCTATGCAAGAGACCAGGGAAGGAAAAGTTAAGAGGAGCGAGTAGTTCACGAAACTCGTACCTGTCGCAAGGGAGACCCTCCCAGCTGCTGGACCGCAACTCCTCGGGCAACGCTAGATGTGCCCAATGACCCTGCCCTATTCTTTATGGCCCCGATGACTCCCCTGTCGAGTCCCTGCTCGCAATCTCACACGAAAACTCGCCCAGTCATAGTCTGCCAACAAGCGCAGCCACGGTTAGTTTACGAGTACAGCCTAACTGCAACTGCTTCAGATATCCCAAGAGCTCGGTTCAGTCATATCTCATATGCCATGGTGTCCTGGAAATCCTTCCTTCGAGGACTTCCCGGAGTCTTCCCCGTCTGCTTGTCAGCGTCAGCTTGCCGGGGACATGCCTTCATAGGGCGTCTAGCCTACAACTATGGTTGGAGGACATGTTCATGTCCTCCGACTTGGGGCCATCATACGGACTAGTATAGGATCTTCATCATGCGCTTACGGCGATTAATTTCTTCTGTTACCTACTGAGTCTGTTCTTGAGCCGGTCGTATCCGTTGACCGAGAGGGGATAGTTCTTAGATGAATACATATTAGCGTCTTGCTATCTCAAGATATTTCTGTGACTGCATACAGCACACATCAGCTGTCAACTTAGCTTCGGGAGTCCAAAAGAGGTATATCTAAACCCAGGATAAAACATCTTTCTTGTCCCACTGTAGCGCCACGTGGGGGAGCCTTGAGCGAACCCTTGATATCCGACTAATCGCTGCGATGCCGTAATTGACTTAACAAACAGCGATCAAAATTGCCAGGGACGCAATTTTGGCACCTGTCAAGATGAGGCGGATCGTGATCTGCACTCTGTGCAAGATCTCTAACTTCAGCGGCTCGATCAATCCGTACCATATGTGTAATAATATCCCGATCTTGGGACTTCAGAATACCATTGTGGCTAAGAAACTTGCATGTAAGGCGAGCAGAAACTAAAAGGCGACGCCAACCAGGCAGGTTGAGTCGCCACA